AGCTTATAGTGCGAAGCGGATTAGAGTTGTACCAGGGAGAGTGTTTAAATAACAACTCCCTTTTTGTACTCACCCTGGACGGGACACTAGTCCATCGCAGGTTATTCCCCAGCAGTTTGCTGGTACCCATTGATCAGCTGGGTGGACTGAAGCAATGTAGCTATTGCCTTGCCCAAGGACACAAGCGAATCTGCACAGCGGATACCCGAGAACCCTGACCTTACGATTGAAACCCAAATAAATATTTGCGTATATAGAGAAAACAATGGGCATACGGATCTGATTTTTTAAATTTTTTAAAGCGAACAGATAATCTAAAGACTTTGACAACTGTGGTAAAATCACTCTTCATGATAAGTCATGCTACTGCATAATGGAATCGTTAATAGGGTTTTGGGCAAAATCATGTTCGGAAAAAAATACAGAGATACCGGTAGCTTGGGCCAGGGATAACGCTTGATCCACAAGCGTACTGTCTGCTGTAAAACAATTGAAATCGTAACGGGTCTGTAATCTTGTCAAACTACAGGATATGCAGACCTAATTTTCTTGAAATGACGCAGTATCCAAAGGTTGCAGGTATGACAACACCCATATCATTGATAAAAAATGTCACTAATCTTACATCCTTATATCTTTCCAGCAAATTATTGTACGCGTTCAAGATCCTTAAAGACGGAAAATGACAAAAAAAAAATAAATAAAAATAAAAAAATCATAAAAAGTATTTTTTAAATTAACCTTCTCATTTTGCAGTCACACATTATTAACTTAAGCATTGAAATTATTGAATTTAAATAATGTGGACATTGATTTTTAACCTGGATAATTATAATAAAAATAAGACACTTCCAGAGCCTGCGAGTGCTTTTATCATTTTTTGCTGTAAACCATAGTCCATAGAAAAATACATTGACTATGTGTAAACTTATGGGTAAACATTATTTAAATAGGCCTACACTAATTTCTATGTTCAATTTGTTAATTTTTATGTTATTTCAAAATGAGAGATTTTATGATAGGAAGATCTAAATTTGTACTGATACCACAAAGCAAGTGCAATGGTCATCACATTGGATCGGTAATTATTTGTTTTTGTTTTTTTTTTGGTCCGACAACTTTCAGTGTTGTGACATCAGTTGACGGGGGTCCACCTGTTTGAGGGTGGGGAGGGAATGTTTTCCCCTGATCCTCATTCCATTTTAATAAAATGCTATGTTAGACTTCTCTAAGGTCTCTAAGCATTATTACCCCCGGTCAATGGAACACATATACTTCTGGGGAGAATTCCATAAATTTGCAACCCTACCAGGTACCCATTTGTATTCCTGGGTGGAGAGAAACAATCGTAGTGAAGTGCAAAGCGAAGGATTGAACCTCCGACTTCTAGGTTGAGAAGCGGAACCACAACCGCTGCGACAAACCGCTCCATTCTGCTTTATATTAGTTTAATAATGTTTATGATATATTGCGGTTACATGGTTATTGAATTTTTCTATAACTATTCATTTTGATTCTCAGCAACCTGTCCAGTGACTCTTTACTCACGTCGTGGGCCTTCATACCTTCCACCGTGTTGTTGTTTTTTTTCAGGCCACTAACCCACTGAATTTCTCCAGGATATGGCATTTGTCACAAATACGCATTGCTTATATATTTCCTTATTCTTTTAGACATTTTGATACGCTAATTGCCTGTGGTTTAATATAATCTTTGTTCAATAGGCACAATCTTAATAACTAGGATTTAGTAATCTAGGTTTAATATAAAATAATTTTCCCCCCGATGAAAATACATCATCAAATTACTCAGATCCTTGAGGTAATTTAAGTTTATTCGTTTATTTTTGTTTGTTTGCTAGGATTATATAGTATGTATATATTATAAATTCTAATTTTGAATAATTAATTTGTTAAGCAATTGTGAAATCTAACTTTTGAATGATCATTTTTATAAATTTAATTTTAATGTTTTATCATAATGTTTATGTTTTGAGTTTGTTTCCCGTTTTCGGTTTTTGAATTGTTATTTTGCCTGCATAAGCCTGTTAATTCTGGATACGTCCTGTTTTTTTGTAATTTTTATTTTGTGTATATTTCATATGAATACCAATAAAGAATTATTGAAGATTATTATTATTATTATCATTATTATTAATAGAATAGGGAACAGTTAAATAATTTAACTGTCCCCTGGTTTAACTCTCTTATACTGTTTCTTATATTATATGTTATTAATGTTACTAATAATATTCCTATTACTATACAAATTTATTACGGCATTAACTATTACTATTATTATAATAATAGGCCTAGGCCTATATATTATTATTATCATTTATTATTATAATTATTAATTATTATTATCAGGCTATTACAGTGGGAGCAACAGACATATTGGATAACAGATGGTCATTTTCTAACTTTGGAGACGGCCTCAATATTTTTGCTCCGGGTGTAGAAGTTGAATCACTTAGTTACACTTCATCTACTGGCACAAGGTATTTAAGCGGTACATCAATGGCAGCGCCACATGTCTCAGGTAAGAACTACCCGAACATAGCCCTATTATAATGTTCTCATTAGTGCACAGGACGGTAGCTGTCTCTTATACACATCTAGATGTGTATAAGAGACAGACCCATATCATTGATAAAAAATGTCACTAATCTTACATCCTTATATCTTATTATCATTGTTGCTGTCATCGTCTTAGTTGTTTGCTGTTGTTATTGTTAAGCCACGATAGGCCTACAAAATTAATGTTCTTAGAATATTGTTAAATCTCAATTTAGAAACCTTTAATCTGTTTCTATTATGGCCGTTTCCATAAAAACATACGTAAAATTTAACCATGGAACAGTTAAATAATTTAACTGTCCCCTGGTTTAACTCTCTTATACTGTTTCTTATATTATATGTTATTAATGTTACTAATAATATTCCTATTACTATACAAATTTATTACGGTATTAACTATTACTATTATAATAATAGGCCTAGGCCTATATATTATTATTATCATTTATTATTATAATTATTAATTATTATTATCAGGTTATTACAGTGGGAGCAACAGACATATTGGATAACAGATGGTCATTTTCTAACTTTGGAGACGGCCTCAATATTTTTGCTCCGGGTGTAGAAGTTGAATCACTTAGTTACACTTCATCTACTGGCACAAGGTATTTAAGCGGTACATCAATGGCAGCGCCACATGTCTCAGGTAAGAACTACCCGAACATAGCCCTATTATAATGTTCTCATTAGTGCACAGGACGGTAGTTGGCGCTGCGGAGAACATTTAATATAAAATGCCCTTTTTACCAATCCCTACGAAAGCCTATTCGTGCCACTTAAGTATATAAAATCATCAAAATGTAATCCGAAATAACGGATTAGTAATCCGTTATTTCGAATTAGTAACTCGTTATTTCGGATTACTAATCTGAAATAACGAATTACTAATTCGAAATTTCTGATTAGTAATTCGTTATTTCGGATTCCTAATCCAAAATTTCGAATTAGTAATTCGTTATTTCGGATTAATAATCCGAAAAAATTTCGAGTTAGTAATTCGTTATATCGAATTAGTAATTCGTTATTTCGGATTACTAATCCGAAATTTCGAATTAGTAATCCGTTATTTCGGATTACTAATCCGAAATAACGGATTACGAATTCAAAATAACGAATTACTAATTCGAAATTTCGGATTAGTAATCCGAAATAACGAGTTACTAATTCGAAATAACGGATACTAATCCGTTATTTCGGATTACTAATCCGAAATTTCGGATTACATTTTGATGATTTTATATACTTAAGTGGCACGAATAGGCTTTCGTAAATCTCCGTTTAGAAAAAAAAAGATTTCTATAAAATGTAGGCCTATAATTTAGAGAAATTCATTAATTAGATTGGACTTTAGTGTGGCAGCTTCACTGCAGTATAGGAATGTTGGTATACTCTCTTTCGTCAATGCATTTGGAAAATTAAACATCCTTATTTCGGCATTCTATGATGACCTGTGACGTACTGTCCGGATTATCAAATTTTATTTGATAAAAATATGTGATGATGCCTAAAATGGTCATGATGACATCACATCATGACCATATATGGATATGAATATGCCCTCTTGTATTTTCTCCTGCTCATTACTATGTCACACTCGTGATTATGTTAAATGTCACTTGTCATGCGCAGTTGATGCTAAGAGGAGAACTTACTCAAAATTAGTATTTATGTGAATCCGGACAATGACTTTAACTGATAATAATTATAATTTCTTTTTTATTTCCAATACAGGAGTGGCTGCTATATTACTTTCACAGGGTACTCCGGCAAACAAAGTCGCTCAGAAGATCTATGACACCTCCACTAAAAATGTTGTTGGTGATCCTAAAGGATCCAATAATCGTCTACTATACGTCGATTAATCACGTGACCGTATTAAACCAATCAGAAAATTAATATTTATAATAATTTAAAAAAAAAGCGACCATGGACAGCATGTGAACCAAAACGCGATTAAGTGTATATTGGGTCATGTAAAAATATGTTGATTTTCCTTCTTCTTTTTTTTTCAAACAGAGGTTTTCAGACTTAAAAACAAAATGTTCATCTATCAGACAAAAACTGCATCGTACATCAACAAGTCAATAAATGATGCAACAAAATCTTTCTAAGCTCTTCTACAAACTTCACTACCCTAGCTTTCTAAGCTCTCCAAATAGAGGATATAGTTGAAATAAGTGTGAATCAGATATTTGTGCGTTTTTCTGAGAGAGAGGACACACTTTTTATATGACCTTATAATACCTGTATAAATATTTTGGAAATGTATTCAAAATTACTTATAAATAGTAATTATAATAGTGTTTGTGCAAAAAACGCAAGTATTGAAAAATTAAAAAGAGTAAGTTATCCTCACAAGAAAGAAAACTATGACATAATTATAATATAAGTGCTAGTAGAATTTGGTATTGTACTATTATAGTTTATTGATGAATAAAAGTAACGACGTAGGCCTACCACAAAAGGGAAAAATAATGTATTTGAATTGCTAATTTGAATCCATAGATGCACCTTAGGGGTATGTCGTCTTTTTCAGAAGGGAATGATAATTGAAAGAAACCATCACCGAAAAAAAATATTTTTCGCATTCACGTGAAGTGCTCCAAAATCGGGTGGCCGAGTGGTAAGGCCAAAGAGGCACAGAGGAGCCACTCCTCATCCAGGGGTTCGTGGTTAAGCCAAGTCTCCTTGGATAAAGATTTGAAACCGGTGGTCGAATGTGCACATCTGGCTCGTGTGAACTTTTAAGAACCCATTGCATCCCTCGGAAGAGTAGGGGGCTACATTTCATTCAGCTCCTGTCGTGTGGAACAATGTGATAATTAAGCTACTGAGCACCTCCCAGTACCGCAATACTACTCTACTGTATACTGGTACGGTACCATATTCATGGGTGAACCTAGACGACAAATCTTCCCCAGACTTGTTTCTCTCATTAGACCAACGTACTCTACCGTTCATGGTCACAGGGCACATGCACTGTAAAATGCTTCTGGTTTTTAGTTGCATCAACCCATTAAATAATCTCCAGGGTGACTGAGATTTGTAACTAATTGTTATGGTGTTTAATATTCGTTTAGACAAAAGCTTAACTTGGATTTGGTACTATGGTTTTCTTTTAGTTTCAATTTATTAAGTTCATTACTTGGATTACACACTTTAATTGTTGGTGGATAAGAAAATTGTTGGTTCCAAAATATTTAAATTCGTTGTAATAAAATTTGTAATCATTGCTGACTGTTACGAAGACTAAATCATGAAGAAACTTATACTGGGAGTTTTTATCACCGTTATGGTGATACTTTATACGACACCTTGCCAGGCCTGCAGAATGCCAGTGCCTGATCCTGTAACCGAACCAACAAAACCAACACGAGGACCATCAGAAATAACACTATGGCCAAAGCCACCAAGAACAATATGGCCAAAGCCACCAAGAACAATAATATGGCCACAGCCACCAGAAGAAACAAAATCACCACCGCCACCAGATTACAGGACCACCACCGCTACCATAATTTTGGGCGGTAGATGAATGGCAGCATCTTATACCTCAGGTAAGAACTATGGTACCAAACAATGTTAATATCTTTTTTATGTAAATGAAAACACTGGCCAGCACTTTATTACAACTATAGCATTTATTCACACAAGCTTTCGCCAGCAGTCAATGCTGGCTTCATCATTCTGCACCTGAGCGAAAGCTTGTGTGAATGAATACTATAATTAGTCAATAAACTGCTACCAGTGTTTCACGGGGGTCCCAAGTCTTCCGGAAGTCGCGGGAGTCTCCCAGAAATGGAGACGGCCTTTCTCACTCCCCGGGAAAATAGCCCATCTCTTGCAAATTCATATTTGTGTGTTTTTACTAATTTACTATCAATTTCTCCCTGAAGTCAGTGCTGATGGGCATTACCGTAGGCCTACGCAGCAAAATAAAATTAAATATGTTAAGAAAGCTCATTTAACCAGATCTCCCGGAGGAATTCCTTTCTACCCCTGCAGCAATGTGAATCGAATTGATGAGAATATGCTAGATTATATCAAATGATGGAATAATATGCTAGATCATTATGCCAAATTTTGATTGAAGAGATACAGGTACCAGTGGCGTACCCCTTCCTCCCAAAATACTCGCAGCTCCCCACCCCCATCCCCACCAAGTCACTCCAAAAAGTAGTTAAAATCACCTCATATCACCTGATATTGCGAGCAGCGCCCCTCATCTAATTAGCTATCTCCCACTTCACCTTCACCAGGTTAAATCAATGGTCGCAGTAAAATCAGACTTGGGACTCAAACCAGGTAAACCCCATTGATCAATTTTACTCTGTATGGATATTTGAAGACAAAAACTTTGTCTACACTATCAAATTTTATGTGACAAAAAAAATGTGACGTGCCCATATATGGGTATGATGACGTCATATCACATACCATCAAAATGCATAAAAAGAGTTGAACGTGCTCAACATTTACTTTCCATCACATTTTATGCGAGGCTTTTTTGATGAAATTTGATAGTGTAGACAAAGCTTTACAAACACACATGTGATCACCAAAACGCACATGTTTGACGCTGTCATTTTTAGGATCTTTGCAACAATATCCAAGGAGCAGCGCTTAGCTTAAAGGTACATTGAAAGACTAATAAATGCTACACATAAAAAAACAGACAGTTGCTGTATTATCAGGTATGTTCTTTGTTTTCAATCGAATATCGTTATCTTTACGTACAAAATTTGCAATAGAAATTGAGTATTATTTATGCTAACAAAATATGTATATTTCAAAAGAATATTATTTTCCTTACGTGTCTGTTATCACTCATAATTAGGTGTATCACGCCTTGCCATAAACAATTTGGCTATATAAAATGAATGTAATTCCATAAACTACATATTTTTGAGGTGTGGTATATATGGCACCAGCCCAATGGTCAATCAAATCTGCTAGAAGACAAAATGAATTAATGGAGCAATGTAACTCAATATCAAAATACATATAAATGAATTCTTTGACTTGGTATTTGGTTGAAAGCTTAATACTGTTGTTGCTACAAAATGAAACAACTTGTATTTTTGTGTTCAGGCCTTAATTGTATATAAAGCAAAAAAAAACTTGTATTTTAACACATAAAGAGTGCAACAAAAATTGTAATTTAAAAAAAATGTACATAATACTCAACTTGTTTTGATTTTAGGGTTTATATTAAAAATCATGTAATAGCATTTATAATGTTAGTGTTGAACCTTGGAAACCATATTAAACCTTACATTTTGAATCGTTATATCAACAACCACTAACATTATTATCACTACCACACAATCCTATTCTCCAAAAGCAAATACCTAATCATATCAAATAATAATATTAATAATGCCACCCAACACCTCTATGATACATCTTAAAACATTTTATAGACTCTAAAACTGGGCTTGACATCTCTCCTCTTCTGAAATTAACCTTTCCAGAAGTGTCAATTACACTTTTTCCATGTCTGTCTGTAGCCACACAATGAGCCTTTCCTGACTACCTGCCAATTTTAGGGTCTATGCACACAATATAGGAATGCTATATATATTTAAAAACACACATAAGCCTTCAATGTATGATAAGTGTGGCTTGACAAATGAGCTGCTTATTTGGTGAAGCTATATTGATTTCCAAGGAAAACAATCTTCATAAACATTTTATATTTATAAATATTCTTTTGCTAAAAATAATCCTATCTCTACAACCAAAATTTATAATGATCTATTTTACATCTAATTTATAAAAAAGATTATTGGTAATGAGATGCAGGTTTTGTCCAGTAGACGTAGAGCTTCATACTCTAAACTAGACTTAACTGCAAACACCCTACAGGGCTGGCTTTGCCCACTTGTAAGTTCCAGTGAAAACAAAGTTATTTTTCTTGAGAAGTTCATCAGCTTCAACTGGTCCTCGTCTAAAACAATGAAAGCAAATAATGATTAACAAATAGTAAGATATTTTCTTACATTTTTTATGTTAAGGCAACAAAATAAATAAATTTGTAATTTTATAAAAATACAATGCACAATCCTACTCAAAGCAGTGTTCTTCAAAAGCCAGATTTATCACCATTATTTTACGCATTAAATTATTGAAATAGCATTGGAAGAAAAGGAAGAAATTCCACACACGCCCATCATTTTATGCCAAATATATGACAAAGTGTAAGCATTGACATGGACACCATTTTGTTGGATTTCAGATTATTTTACTCTATACTTCGCTATTATGAATAACAAATTGTCTATAGTAATTGTTATTGTCGTGATGGAATACACAATAACTGGATTTACGTCAGGAGAATCAAGTATAGGTGTATTTTTGCCCTACCTGACGTGGAAATGTACTGAATACTCAGTACGTGTGAAAACAATTGCAAAAAAAAATTTTTATTATCGGTTGATTTCCCGTCGATTTATAATCAGGCGGTACTGGGAAGGGACAACTTGATTTCCTGCTCTACAACAAGTCATTCATTCGTAGAAGCCTTTATAAAAAAAGCCTACCTAAAATTGCCTAGATTGGCACAAGACCGGCTTTGAATATAGGCAGATTGAAACCGACAGTTATTGTCCACGTCAGGTAGGGCAAAATTACACCTATAAATTTGAATATAATTTACATACTTCTCAATGGCATATCTGGTGGTGGATTGATTCCCCAAAAATACTCACACCCCTAGTCTCCCACCTAAAATCACCTTATTTTGTGAGCTAGCACCCCTCAACCACTCTTTGAACCACCACTTCACTTTTGTGCTCCCCCATCACCCACCTCCACCGCCACCCATTTCAAGACTCCTAAAAACGCAACTGATGCTTACAGTACTTCCCAACTTACCCGCCATATTTATATTGAGTAGGCTTTGGTTTGTCATTTTCAATTTTGAGCAAGAGTGGGGTGAATATTCTCCATGCTTCGGCCAACTCATCACTGTAAAACAAAATCAAATAGTGATCAAGCAGGCAACATTATCTCAAAACACTTCACATTTTTACCAGGAATTTAATAATTTTGTGCACTACTGGAACAAAGCTGTTGCTTGCTGGTTATAAACAATGAAAGCCAAGAGTTTTGTGTTCAGACCTGACAAAGCACTAAATTTTTTTCTCAGGGCTAAAAAAGTGTATTCAGTGATGCTGTTTCGATAAACATATAACAATAAAATAATAATAAAATCATATTTATACAGTGTCTAAAGGATTGCAGATCCCTCAAATACTAATAAAATAATAATAATAATAAAGCATATTTATATATTGTCTAATCAGATCCCTCTAGGTGCTTAAATTTTAAAGTTATTTATATATTTATTAATAATAATGCTACCAATAAACATTGAATACCTTCTCACAAAGTGAATTTGATGGCCACAGAACACATCTAGAATTAATCTCTCATAAGCATCAGGCATTGACACATCCTACAAAAAAAAACCAACCTAAATAAATGTGGCATTGTAAAAAAGGACATAAAATAGAATGAATGTTACTCAGAATCATGAAGTAATGTTTATTTTATGCTAATCACGGGTATTACATAAGAGTTGATAGTGTACAGAGTGTTAGGCTGTGTTCACACACACGGCGTAAGACTGGCGTGGCTTACGCCAGGCGTAAGCTAATCCACGGATTAAAATTCCAAAGTGTTCACACAAACGGCGTTCGTTAAACTAGCAGTAATATAGGCCTATGCGGAGTGGAATAGTTTTCAGTTTTAAATAAAAAAAACTTTTAAATCTGTGAATTGTTCGAATTGAACTTATATGATTATTGTATTTTAAATGAACAATTTTACTTTTGATTTTTCAGCTAGCATTGTTGATGTTGCATGTTTTAATAGACAGTCTAAATGGTTAAAATATCTTACAAAACACAATCAATAAATCATATACATTATAACTAAGTAAAATGCAATAGAAAAGGAACCCCTTTACCATTTCATTTATAGAGAGAACAGAAAAGAGACCAAAGTAGCTAATATACTGTAATCGTGATTGGTCAATCTCTTGAAATGAGGTCAAATCATTCAAGCATCACTGGCGTTAGCTCAGTGGCGTTAGCTAATCTGGGGTCTGCAGGTAGTGTTAATAACGCCAAGGACGTGGCGTAGTGAGTGGCTTTAACAACGCCACTGCCTAGTTCACACACAAAGGCGTACGCTACGCCAGGCTTAAGCCAGCCTTACGCCGTGTGTGTGAACATAGCCTTAAATTGTCTGAGGGAAAAGATTAGAACTAGGAAAAACACAAAGATTTATAGCTTCTTTTCTATCATCTTTTTTTTTACCTTGTACCGTGATCCGTAAGTCAGATCCAATTCCGTTTCCTCTACATCAAAGGACATTCCTGGTTTCTTGGTCATCATCTTACAGTACACAGCTTCTCCTGGCTGCACCCGGATCACAAGCTCATTTCGTTTGCAGTTACCGCTGAAGATATCTCCTGGTACATCTTTGAACTGTACACGTACTTCAGCTTTACGCTCATTCAGGGCTAAAAGAAAAGTGATATGACGATGCTTAAGCCCTGTTTGGACAACAAAGTTTATATTTTAAAAAATGTGACATGCCTAAATATGGTCATGATGAAGCAGCAAGGATTTCCCTAAGATGGTGCGGGATGATCCCCGATATCACAGAGCTTGCAGGATCTCTGCCATTACCATTCAGTGATTACCAGAAAGGACAGATATCAAGTTTCTATCTTTGAACTTGTTGAATAATTAAAGCCCTGCCCAGAAAATCTTATTTTATTTCACAAAAACATGCAACATCTTGACCATATAGGCACATGATGACTATATATGGGCATAAAACAGTTTTTTGTCAAAGAAAATTTGATAATCTGGACAGATCTGTAAATTTTCGTAAGTAAACTTGTGTGATTCCTTATAAATTTATAAGTAATCTTTTGGCAGCTATCTCATTTCATTAAAAAAACATTAAACGATTTCAACTATTGCTCTTATAGACAAAACATGTTAATTATTTACTGATAAACTATTGATAGAATGAGGAAGACATTGTGGTTGCAAGTTTACTTAAAAGGTAGCACAAGCAGACTGTTCCATTAATTTCAGGGGGTCAACACATTTTAGAAGTCATGCCTAAGATTAGCACAAAAAAGCTGGTATTAATTAATTAGATTTATATTACATAACAATAGCCAACAATCTATCCTAGGCATGGGAAAAATAATAATATATGTTTTTTAATTGCTTTAAACGTTACCAGGATCTTACCTTTGCCACACCTAAGAATGAAGGGCACACCTGCAAAAATTAAACAAGAAATTTTTAATCTTATAAGGGACAAGAACATTTTTTCATAAGTAAAATACAAAAATAAAACAGTAGAAAGCTACATGTTCAAACAAAAAGAACCCAAGTATGACAACCTAACCATGGTCAGTTGAGAAAGCAACAAATATGATAATAATAATTATGATAATAATAGTAATTATGATAATAATAATTATAAAAAATAATTATGATAATAATAATAATAATTACGATAATAATGATAATAATAATTATGATAATAATAATTATGATAATAGCAATTAAATAATGATAATACAAATTATTTTTTTCTTTATTTAGAAATGAAAATATATATTTTGTTCTCACCATCCCATCTCTCATTGTTTATTTTAAAAACTGCTGTAGCAAAGGTGGGAGTGACAGACCCTTTGGGAACAGTGGGGTCGTCAAGGTAACCTTCCTTAGCATCACCCTCTCCATCTGGATCTCCAACATACTGGCCGAGAACCACATCATCTAAAGTCAGTGGGTCAATACGCTTCAATACCTTCACCTAAAATGAACCAATTACATACAGTAATACAAAAAAGTGAAAAAAGAAATGCTATATATTCTATGAGGAAAACTTGTAGGTTCCAAACGAAGGGCCACGCCCACCTTAGGCCCACCATGATTGGGACTGAGGTGATGACATTTTTTTGATTAAAAGCCCGAAAATGGCACTACACTGCAAAAAATAATCGGCAAGCAAAGTTTAAGCATAAATAAAACAAAGAGATCTGTTTTTTACAGAATTTGCGGGAGATAAGTCAATTTCTGGGAGATTTTTGCTTGTTTGCAGGAGTGCGGGAAACCATACCAATTTCCAGAAGACTCCTAGGAGTTCCGAGAGACTTTGGCTCCCAGATTTTATATCAAGGTTTACCAACATTAATGAACCGATTATATATTGTAAAGACGTAAAAGAACTGTATGTATTTTTAATATTAAGAAATTAAATTAATTTATGATAAATACATTTGCTCTTGTAAAAAATTGTATTACAATAAACATATCTATTTAAAATTTGATATAGTTTTATGTAGAGATTTACCAACCTTAATGAACCAATTATATAATGCAATAAAGTGAAAAAACTGTATTTATTTAAAATATTAAGAAATTAAATTACCTGTAATTAAATCTTTTAAAATTAAAATTTATAAATAAAATTGCTATAAAAAATTGTATTACTATGAAACACATCTATTTAAAATTTGATATAGTAATTTTATATAAAGTTTTACCAACATCAATGAACCAATTATATAATATACATGAAAGAACTGTATGTATTCTTAATATTACAAATTAAATTACCTCTAAATAAAATTTATAAAATTAAACTTTATGATAAATAAAATTGCTATTATCAAAAATTGTATTATAAAACACATCTATTTAAAATTTGATATAGTAATTTTATATCAAGGTTTAATAACATCACTGGAACATGATATGATAGTCTGCAAAAGGCAATGTAAATAGCCTCATTACAGAAGCACATCAAATGAGCTCTAATGGCTCGAATAGTTGAGCATATTAATTAGCATAATTTTCTGTAAATGATCGTAAAATCACTATTGTGGCAATTCTATAATCATTTAAGGCTTCAAACTATTCAGACTATTCAGTTATGCTCATCCATTTGCGAGCAGCTCTTGTAAAAAAATGATTGCAGCAGAGTTTTCAATGTTTCATTCATGTTTATGGGCCTATGACACACATTTTACGGAACGCTAATTGCATGTCATAAATGTTTGCAAGTGCTCTCCTCTAGGGCATAAATATTTATGGCTCAATGACTTGTTCAAAAGGTACCGGTACTGCACAGGCCTGTCTGATTTACTTTGTTACAAATTGGAAAATATGATGATACAAAGTGTGACTTTTCTACCTTTTCATCTCGAATGTCCTTGGCATCAGTTGATCCAGGTTTTTCCATCGCAAATAACGACAAAATCTGTAGAAGGTGATTCTGCATAACATCTCTGAAAACAATATGTTAATAATTAATTTATTTGTTTTCTATGAAAAATACTAGTGTTAATCATTAACAAGTATTAATGATTTTATTAGGGAAGCTCATAACAAAAGCAAAAGGCTACATTTTTAATTCACATATCAAAGGAAATTATATATGAATCTGAATAAAATGAACAGCTTAATTCAATTGTGGTTCAATATCTGAAAACAATACATTTTGAAATTACTCAATTTATTAACAAGATTACAGTACTGTAATACAAATACGTAATATATTACAAATATTTACAATACTCGTAAATATTTACATTATTTTTGTGGTTACTGCAATTAGAAATAACCAATTAGAAAGAATTGGAACATGACAGCTTATCTAAAGTGGTTAATAATCCAGAAACAGAAATTGCAATTCTCTATGAATAATATTCCACTTTATATAATTCAATCCACAAATAGAAAGATATTTTGTCTAAAATGCAGAGGGTGGGGGATATCTGGTTACCTCTGTTTTTTGGCTACTTAAATCTATCTATATTGTTTTCACAATTGGTTAGTGATTTTTTGACTGATGCCTACAAGATGGGGAGGAGGTGTGGTGGTGGTAGTTATAATTAAAATTAATTAAATTTAAATGAAGTTGAAAAAAGAACCACTGATGCATTGGTAATTTAACCAAATGATGACATTTAGCATTGGGATTTTTATCTGTCTTTATATTCCTTGAATGCATTGTATGTTCTAAGTATATTAATAGTCATTACCATAACAAATTAAATCTGTACAGTATTTGTATAAACACTGCCCTGAGCCCAAGATTATATACATCAATAAAAATATGAATGACGCAAGTTGATAATCTAAAAGAGGTACATACCTTATGATGCCAAATTCATCAAAGTAACCTCCCCTTCCAATCGTTCCAAAGGGCTCCTTAAAAGTGATGACAACGCTAGCAATATTGTCACGATTCCAGACAGGTGCAAAGATTCGGTTTCCAAACCTGCAAGAATAATTTTTACATTTTTACAAATGTAAACCATTTGCATAATGCTTACAAATACTGAAATTAAACTACTGATTACAAATAAAATAACATTTTAAAATCTACATGACAATAAAATATAGGGTCACAATCAAAGATCCTATAATAATAAGATAGCGCTCTGTGTGGTTTTATGTGTATCGGAAATACTCAAATAAGTATATAAAGCTTATAAAATTTTTGTAGGCTTCAATGCTGTGCTTATTCGAGAGCGGCACTTATAAATTATTATTGGAATGGCGCTTTCCGTGCGCATTCCCATGTTACATATTTCACATATTCAAGTAGTTCAGTAAGCCTACCATTGGTCCTAGTCATCGTAAATAAACATTTATAAAGAAATGCTTGAGTCTTCATTGTGTTATATATTCATTTCAACACTGCAGTACATTGTATTTAAAAAGCCTGTTTCTCGAAGTGTTTTATTACAAACACAGGGTGATGTATACTCTTGATTAAGCACCGTAGCGCTTATTAGAGAGCGGTGCTTAGAGAAAAAAATCAGGTTTGGTGTGGCACTTATTCAAGCATTCATTCATAAAGAAAGTAATTATAATTGAGAGAGAATGTGTTCTAATTGTTTCCATGTTTATTACAGAATTTGCACAAAGATCATAGATGTCAAAGTTAATAAGTAATTGTAATTGAGAGGTCCTACACCATATTGTTACAGGATTTGCATGCAGAAATCGTGGAGAGCGCTATCTTATCATTATAATGTCTCCGGTCACAATCCAGTAATTCGGTTAAAAAATATAGAGAGCGCTACGTACCTTAAAATCATGAGGTTCTGTACCATCTCTTTTCCAAGGTAATGGTCAATACGATACATCTGATCCTCCTCAAATAGTCCACTAAGGTGGTTGGACAAGTCAGCAGAAGACGCTGAATCCTTTCCAAATGGCTTTTCTATGATAACACGAGTCCACCCCCTGAAAATCATCAAGATTTCATTACAATAGTAGATTCATTAGAATATATTTTTGCAAATAGATAAAATTCTGCACCTGGATTCAATATTCTGTGGTTGTTTTTTTTTTTTTACTGAGTTCTGCAAGTAAATCATACTTGGGTTAGCATATGGGACAGAATGCTACCTTATACTATGGGAGGCAGCATGGTAATTTATCAATTCATTCATTCATCAATCAATCAATCAATCAATCAATCAATTAAATAATCAATCAACCAATTAATCGTTTGGACAATCAGTCGATAGTGAGTTGTTACACTTCTTAATAATCCTGTCTAGCCTCTAAAGTCTTGTTTATTTATTGATTTCTGATTGAAAGATGAAATGAAATCAAGAAATCAATCAATTAATCAAAAATCAAACAACTGACCAATGAATCACTGAATGAATGAATAAATCAATCAATAAATTAATCAATCAATTAATCAAAAATCAATGAATGAATCAATCAATCAACCAATGAATGAATGAATGAATGAATAAATCAATTAATCAATGACTCAATCAATCATTTAATAAATTAATCAATAAATCAATGAATAAATAAATAAATAAATCAATCAATCAATCAATAAATCATTCAATCAATCAATGAGTCAAACCATTCTCCTATTCATTCATCCATCTGTCCATTCATTCATTCACTTATTCATTCATTTATGTATCATATAATGACGATACATACTTAGGACTCATGCATTTTGCTTTGATGTGCTTTGTAACATCCTTAAACACACTTGGTGGAAGGGCAAGGTAGAATAGACGATTGGCGGGGACATCTTTCTTAGCCTCGATTGTTGTAAGTACATCATTTAAGTGCTCAAAGCCATCCTCTTCTTGGTATGATCCTTTCACGTAACGATTCTGTTTGAAAAATTCATCCAACTTTGCCTTTTCGCCATCTTTTACCTGCAAAGTAAATTAACTTTCATCAAAATCTGAAGGAAGGAATTGGTGTTTTTAAAGCTCCATTAAGTTTTATGTTACTAATTGGTGTGAATTTTCCATATATGGGCATGATGATGTCATATCACATCCATATATGGGATGATGATGTCATATCATATTCAGTTAAAAAAATACACTCATTTGTATTACGTGACCAGTATCTTCAATGTATCCATAACATATCATTACGTTGTTCATGGAATTGCGCCAGCAAATAACAGACGACGCAATGTGTGTCTGGCTTGAGTTGCAATTATGATGTGTTGCTAATCATTTCTAAGTTAAAAATATATTACAGAGCTTATTGGGAGAGGTGAATTTTATTAAGTCAAATAAAAAAAAAGAACAGGATTTCTTACTTTCATGTATGGCTCACATCGCTTTTTAATATCACTGATTGAAAGAACTGAGCGAGCATAACCGACAAATGTTGTGTTCTTTGGCAGAAGATTATCACGAAATAGCCACCTGGAAAATAAATTTTAAAAATAAGTTAGTTTACTGATTGGTCAAGTTGATTTTATAATTATCATAATCGTTGTGATGTGAATATAAATTTCAATCATGAAATTTCTAAAAAATTGTCTGATGCTAATGATCAACTGACTGAATGAGTTAATACCTTTTATGTTCCTTTTAAATATTGCAATCCAGCAAATTTTCATGGGTTTTCCATTATCTTACAACAGACAGTATATCTTTAATGCTATTATTCTTCCTGATATAATAGTCTTTACTATCAACTGATCGCCTGCCTGACTTAATAACTTTTATGATCCCTTTAAATAAGGAATTTAGCAAATTTTTGTGGGTTTTCCTCGTAATTTCCAAAAGACAGTACATTTATAATGCCGTTATGCATGGTATAATAGTTTTGCAGATAATGTTATGCAGGTATAATGGTTTTTATATAAAGCACTCATAAATTCAGATTATTAAATAATATATTAGTATAGCTGCAGTGTTTATCTTTATCAGTCCTGATAACGAGAATGATGCAGCAATTTTCGCAAAAAATCAATATCATACATAAAATATTTTAATATGTAGCTGTTATCAGATACCTATCTAATTTTCATTAATTTGAATATACATTTATTCTTTCGCATCCAAAAACAAGTCCTTAAAAGGGTAGAATATAGTTCCAAACCAGCGCAATGGATTAAAAAGTTGATTTGCTAATAAATATTTTGATCTAGAAAAAAATTGTTTTAAAATAAGAATCATGATCGAGGGTTCTAAATGGCCCCTTAGTTCAAAAGCCCCAGCCAGGAATTTCTGGAGCCCTCATTGTTGCAAACTATCTGATGCTCTATGTCATATTATGAAGCTTAGGGAATGGAGTGTACTTTAATAATGGTATAATAGTTTTGCAGATAATGTTATGCAGGTATAATGGTTTTTATATAAAGCACTCATAAATTCAGATTATTAAATAATATATTAGTATAGCTGCAGTGTTTATCTTTATCAGTCCTGATAACGAGCATGATGCAGCAATTTTGAGTAAATTATCAATATGTTTGATTAACAAAGGCTTTTGTACACACCATAGAGTACATAAAAGACAAGTGTATTCAAGGATGGCACTACAGTATATACATATTCTGAGTAGTTTTTAATCTTCAGATCTAACTCCCCTATATGGACTATCGTAATAATGAGACTATCAATTATACAAGGTTTCATCATAGAAACCCAACAGGAAATAGGCACTGTAAGCTCCAAGTAATCCTGGATAAAAGATATATATACACACATAAAAGATATATATACACACCACAATGTTGGGTAAATTTTCTTCTTAGCCAAGTCACCCTGTATAAAACGAGAACACAAATTATCACTCAGCTTGCATGCAAGCTATTGCTTAAGGAAGCATAGAAATTGTTTTGCCAATTAGTTAAAATTATCAAAAGTAATTTCATTAATCAAGTTGACCTCTTAGGTAACGTTAATTGCATTGTAAAACAACAGAGATGCATTCCTTGCTATTTCATTAAAAAATTCATTATGAGGCAAAAAATCAATATCATACATAAAATATTTTAATATGTAGCTGTTATCAGATACCTACCTAATTTTCATTAATTTGAATATACATTTATTCTTTCGCATCCAAAAACAAGTCCTTAAAAGGGTAGAATATAGTTCCAAACCAGCGCAATGGATTAAAAAGTTGATTTGCTAATAAATATTTTGGTCTAAATGGCCCCTTAGTTCGAAAGCCCCAGCCAGAAATTTCTGGAGCCATCATTGTTGCAAACTATCTGATGCTCTATGTCATATTATGAAGCTTAGGGAATGGAGTGTACTTTAATAATGAAAACAATAAATGTACACAGGATTTGAAATTTAGACATTGATAACAGGCTGGGAGTTTAACCAGCTGAATGCCATCAAAATAAATTTATTATTATTGCAAAAGTCACCGAGTTTATATATCTCAGTTCATACCTAAGACCTTCTCATTTTATTGAAATTTAGAAAGCTGAACAACCAGAGATGACTCCTGTCTTCAAAAATCAAATATGCAAAGCTTGCAGTAAAATGCACTACTTTGATTACCCTGTATGTTTTAATAATGTCAAATTATGTGAAGCCAGCATCAAGCTTTAAGATTAATTTTCCCCTGAGGATAATCAATCACTTACGGACGCTCCAAGAATGACGAAGATGTGTGGTACCTCCTCCTGGTTCATGGTCTCCTTGAGAAGAGCAATGCTGTCCACCGGAGGTTTATCCTACAAAACAAAAACACATTATTCTAATCTTAGTAGCTGTATGAGTGATCGATTATTTGGTTGGTTGGATAATTGTTTAATTGATTGATTGATTGAAAGAGCAGTTTCTGTTCACAAATCGGTAAAATAAAACATTCACAATTTGGTTTATTGTATTTGATTGATTGTTTGATTGATTAATGAATATATTAATAATTGATTAATTAATAATAGATTGATTAGAAGTTAATTTTTTATTCAGAAATTGGTTCATAAAAAAATTAACTTGTTAATTTGGCTACAAATAATGATATTTCCAATTGGTAATTATTTACCATATTGATTTCCCAAACATGTGGCACTGTAATCAATTTAATGGTTAATTAATTTCATTTATTATTCTTATTGCTATTTTATATTGATGATGAAGGGGTAAACCATAATTTTCAACATTTGTTTATAAGATTACAAAACATACTCCTTTTTGTGGCTCCCCTCCCTCCCCATGAAAGAGCACACAAAAAATGTTGATTTGTGTCATTTTATCTTTTTCGTACTTATGCCTATGCCTTCAACCTCCTCCACCCCCATCCCCCACCCCCAAGCGTATGTTTTGTACTCTTTTGAAAATTATGGAAGGCCCAAAGACAATATGAGTGTTGTGTTGGTTTATATCGTCGCTCACATCACGAACTAACACAATTAAATTCAATTGTGTTAGTTCGTGAAATCAAAAAATCGCATCAAAATACGCGCTGTTGTTGGTAAGGACTTTTTGTGTGGTAAAGAATACAAAATTGCTTGACAACCAATACGCACTCGTTTTGACGCGCTACTGTGATTTCACGAACTAACACAATCTACTTTGATTGTGTTAGTTCGTGATGTGAGCGACGATATGTTCTGATAAGCACTATGGCACTTCTCTTGAGAGGCTTCAGTGCAGTGCATATTTAAGACCAGTGTTTATTCACGATCAGCACTTATTACAAATTATTGGCAGTGCTAAAACTGTACAATGACGGTATTGTGCATATGCCTACCTGAGGACTAAGGCTTTGACATTTATTAAAAATAGAGTATGACTTTAGCATTGCACTTAATATTTTATGGCACACATGATAGTTGCATGTAATGTTTGCTTTATTCAATGCATTTGATGGTTGGTTTATACAATTGCAATGCATGATAGTTGGTCGGCATGAATGTTGATTATATAGTAACATAATGGTTGATTTATACAATGCCTAACAGTTTACAGAATATATATGGCAACTCCAAAAAATGAAAGACAGGCAGGCAGGCCATAATTGATTTTATGTTTCGTTCATTAATAGAACATTAAAATGCATGATATTCAATATAGTTTAAACAAGGTGATAGTAGGTTTATACAAAGGCATGATGGTTGAAGTTATACAATGCTTGTATAGCATGGATTATAATGATAGTTTATACACATCATAATAATATAGTGTCGGACATACTATAGTATAGTTTGTTCGTATAGTACATCTGATGGTTGATTTATTGCACTCTTTGCAGGCTATTCTTTGTACAGATACTGATCAAGACCAGTGTGTTTTGTAGAACGCAGTGCTCGCACCACTGGGAACAGTTTAGATTACTAATTTATGCAGCAATTCACGAAAGTTAATGATGTTCGATTTAAAAATTGATTCAGAGAAGGTAAATTAAAACAGGAAATACTGTACTGTATGAAGAAATTGTGGAAAACATCTGACATAACAGTAGGAAAATGCAGTACAACAAAACTAATGTAAATTTATGTGTTGAAGCTAAAATTCATAGATAATACAATATTTGGTCATTTTGAAGACAATTTAATAACTAAATTTCTTTAGTTAATATTTTCCTATGTTTTCATTTCCTATAATTTTTATCTCTTTATACTAGTGCACTAGTGCAAATTTTGATGCCTGTCATTTGAGGGAGCAAATGTTCCATTAAGCGAAATGAACGATGACAAACAAATCATAGATCTGGCCCTGAGGCAAGCTTCTGATGATCTGTAGTCAGCAATCTTTTATTTTGGTGATTGTCACAGGTCTGTAATCTACGACAACAATATTCAATTCATTATGGAACATACGCTGATATTAAATAATGCATCAAAAGAAAATAGCAACTTATGTATACTCATTAATTTACATACATAATGTTAATAAATATTATTACTGCACTATGAAACATATACTACTTACTTATTTATTAATGTATCGCAAGAACATATTACTTTATGTATATACTGTACTATATTAATTGATACAAATCACATTATTAATTAATCAGTGGGTATGAATACTTTATCTATGTCAATGATGTCTTGAAATTAAACCACCTTCCTGAAAATGAAGGCATTCATGCACAAGAATAAGAATGGTCACACTTATACCTCCATTAATTGGTTAAGAAATACTTTGCTCATACTAATTTTCCACAGAACGCTTTTTACTTTTAGGAATATTAAATTTCTTCTTCCATTTGAGAGGATATATTAAGTGGTAACTCCTATGTTGGCAGACAGGGGGACCAAGTTGGTATGTCAAATTGAGCCAAGGGACAACTGATGTGATGAAGCAGAAATGTTCCCCTGATTCCTGCTAAATACCGGACCAGATATATCATACAATATACTACATAAAACATGCACATGAGCACTTCTCATATTGTGCTGGTGAGACAAAATTCAGTCAACTGAACTAAATAATCTGTTTCTACATATACTAGAATATACAGTAAACTCTTTGTAAAACAACATTCAGTATAAATGAAGAGCAAATAATCGAAACAGAATAAAAGCAAACTGCAAAGAATGGCATGCATGATATTAATAATATAAAGCAGAAAATGGTTACACATAGAACAATGTTCACCACAACTCTCTTAAAATTTTCAGAACAGGGTTAGCAAAATGGGGGATGCACACTGCTACACAACAAACAAGTTGAAACAAAGCGGTTGTCAATACCTACTGTATGCCAGAGGGGAATGCGAGATGATAAAGAAAAAGACAACGTTGCTGGCAAACCGACACGACTATGATGATACCTTGAGAAAATTGCACTGTAATAAAGTCAAACTACAGTGATCACACAGCTAAATACACTTCTTTATAACAGTATGTTAAAAATGGCATTTAAATATTATATCGCATTATAATTAGTAACAGTACTCCATTTCCTAAACCACTTTTGAGATTTCGTTTATATAGAGAATAGATCCCTTCAATCCAGTTGAGCGATGAATCACTCGTTGAGAATGAAATACATAAACATTAGTTTCAGTAAATTTAAAATAGTCTAGTTTTTCCTGGGTCTGTTTATGTATCAAATGTTGAACAACATAAAAACAAAAACATACATAAGCAAAAATTATAAGATGATTATAAATTAAATAAATTAAACTATAAAATAATTCATAATATATCTACAGTATTAAATACACTAAATTACAAAAATTAAAAATAATAATTCACAAATTAACTGACATCTATTACAGTAATGTTGGTAGTATCAGACATGTTATGTCCTTCCTCCAAAAAAGGTAATAAAAATAATGTCATTAAACATATTTTGTGAATTCTGGTTAAACACACAAAAAATTATTTATGTACTTTATAAATTTCAATGAAATATGGACAGAAAAAATGTGCTTTTAATCATTTACAGAATATTATTATACCAGTTAAATTAAAATGAGTTACTTGTGTCCCTGGGCAAGAGAATTAACTTGTAGCAAAGGCCGTAGTCATGGCGGGTTTCTATGGTTCTGGCAAACTCCCCACTTCTGGCGAACCCCCTCCCCTCGAATTTCCTGAACGAGTCCTCAAACCCAACCAATGCATGGCAGACCCACCTAGACTCAGACAGAATGTTTTGCTGCAGACTTTTTTCAAACATAACTGCTTTTGTAGCATTATTTAGACTCATAAAACACAAAAATCCTTTTGCTTTGGTGGTTTTGCTGACCCCACCGGGCTTCGCCCCTGGAACCCACGCCCAGAGAACCACCCCTTGGAAGAGGAATGACTTCATTTCATTTCATTTTAAACAAATATAATAACAGTAGGCCTAATAATTATCAGTGTAGTGTAAAGCTAATTAATTAATGAATACAAAATATTAGCACATCAAAGTTAGTAGAATATTTAATTATCTTTAAAATATAAATTGAAAGTGTTATGTTAATATGGAGACAAATTTGGAAAAATATGAATGGTGATTAATAAACTATTTTATATACTGTATATAAAAAAAGAGGATACTCGTATCTTGAAATTTAGTTAATTATGTGCAAAAAACTCCATTTCCTTTTTCCATGGTATTCCATGTAAAAATTATTTCCTATCATTTGTGGCAAATGAAGCTTATGTAATACATCATTAGTATTACACGTCTGTCAGTGGCTAATGGTTTTGTTACCTAGCTTTCTTGCTGAGTATTAGCAAACACCATTACCTTATTAGTATGATTCGCATAGAAGAATGAGAATACGTGAGCGCTTGTGCTCATTGTAAAATCATAATCACAATAATAATGTAGATATAATTATTTTAACATCATTTTGGCTTCAAATTATTCAGGGTGTTCTCATCAATTAATTTCCCTGGTAGATACCTGCATAGTCATCAAAATAAAGGCATTATAGTATATAGATTTGACAGAGAGCTAACAATAATGAGCTGTGGAATAATGAGCTGTGGGATAAGGCTAATAGCGGATGCTGGTACTTAATTTGACTCTGTTCGGGTTATCAAATTTGACCAAAAACATGTTGTCTCCACATATATAATCATGATGTTCCTGTATATGGTCATAATGTGATGTCATCATGACCATATTTAGGCAATGGATAGTCTGAACAGGGCTTATATCAATAGAAAAACTAATTAAACAGTATATGTGATGCCAATATGTTGCCATTCCAACAGTCGTTCCTTTGATAAGATAATGACCCCAGATAGATATGTCATGCCATTGCCAATGGCATTGATTAGACTTTAATATTTTCAATTCTTTTTATAACAGCCAATTTTAGAAAATTCTCTTCATCGCTATAAAATTAAAAAATATAAATTTATTTTGGACATCAATTATAGTATAATAACAGCTCTCATCTTTGTCATCCTCAAAACCTAGACCCAGAAATATTGGGTTGATAACCGGGGGGTTTTATTAAACCTAGGATCATTTGAATTGTCGTATTAAGGCCAACTCAGACAGTGTCGGCCGACGTAGCCCGACCCGATTTATCGTCAGGGACAGTCTTAAGCCGTCGTGAGAAATATTAAACGTGTTTAATATTCTACTACGCGACTTCCCCCGACGCACACCATCCATCTGCGTTCAACTCACGCAGACCCGACGCAACAACAAATTGCGTCGGGCTGCGTCGGCCGACGCTGTCTGAGTTGGCCTTTACCTGATAACAGGCCATTCACAAATCCTTAAAATAATTTATTATATTTCCACCATTGGAATCTTCGTCCTTCTTGTACACAACATACATACAGTAATCTTTTATATTACTTACACAATGATCCTATAGTATTCCTACTTGGGAAAGTCCTTCTGCTACACTGTATATTCTACATCCATAGAAAAAGAATCTAGATGATTCTAATATCTTGGGTCATGTGATTCAAATGAATACAATTTAAAGAATGACCACTTGCCACACAGCCTTTGGCATGTGGTACAAACCACAATCTATATCCTGTAAAGAATTTCCGTATTAAATACAGTACAGTATGTACACTTCCTTGTTCATATGACCAAAGAAATTAAAAGTAATAGTATACATAATAATAGATGTCTCTAAAGTGCAAATAAACAAGGTCTTTATGCGATCATTTAATCTTGTTTACTTACCTGCCTGTGTGTTAATCGGTTTCAAAAATATAAAATGTGTACCATATTCAAACAGTTCGTAATAACTGAATACAGTAGGTAGCAAAACATATTTAATAAAAGCTTTCAATACAATCTGCAGGTACTAGGTTTGGTAGGCACTGCTTTTGCTGGCATGCCTTATCACATCTTTTTTTTTAGTGTTAGTCATTTTTTTAATTACAAGGATAACTGCACTTTTAGCTTACTGTAGGATGACCACTGCAGTGACGTGTCTAATGGTATTAACGTAGGGGGCGGATATTGGTGGCACGATGAAAAAGTGAGGCAGTAGTACTTAAAGGAAAGTAAACCTGTATCATATTTTATGTGATATGCCTGTTAAATGGTGAAGATTTTTTTCTCATTTTCAAAAACCTCTAATTTATTTGAATAGAAAGTAATATGTTTTACCAAAAACAGTCAGATAGAGAAGAAAATAAAAATAAAATGTTATTGTTAAATGTAAACAGTGTACTACTGGGATGGTTAAAAGCTTTTAATAAATATAATTAGGAAGAAATATATGATCTTATTCTGGAGATTTCAAGGCAGTGGTGGGCATAATAAAAATAAAGAAAAACTTTTATTTTTTCCTGAAATTTCCATATTTTTGTGGCAGCAGGTGCGCTAATTGACCAAAAATAAAATTTTATTTTTTTATTCATTGTTGGGGAGATGGATCCGCAAAACGAGGTATGAAAGGTCATGCTTTATTATAGATCCCCATTCCGCAACCTTTTTAGCCTACGACCCAAATTATATGTCAAGCAGTCAGACGCGACCCATCGAACCCGAAGTCAATAAATCACGTCCGTCTGGTTTTTTTTTGTCTTAAGAGTCTTTTTTTACTTAAGAGTCATTATCACAGCAGGCATTGCTGTTTCTCAATAAATTACCAGTATAGTATTTAAAAACCAGGCTGGACAAATTTAAAAACCTGTTGTTCAAAAAAATTTGGCATTTTTATTACCTTAGCTATAATTTCAGATAAAAATCATAATAGATATGCTTTTGAATTTTAAAAATCAATGACTTATGTTAGAAGTTACAACATGGTTTTTGATTTACAGTAATTGTGCTAGTCTTCTTATGAACTATTCACAACTAATGAGCTTCACTATTAATCTTGTTACAAAATTCCTGAAGTAATTAATAGAGATAAGAAGAGATTGGCAAAACCTGGTTCAAAAATTGAAAATTTGGTAAATGGTGAAGTTTCCTCATGAGGAAAAGGTACTTCTGGGTGATGAGTTGATACTATGATGAGCTAATACATACTAATTGTATTTTGCCAAACATGGTTAATTGGCCAGCTAACTTCAGGGAGGCAATAATGCAGTGATTATTCAAGAAATGGGTTAGTTTACAGGGTTGCGGGAGATGGGCAAACGCAGATTCAGATGTGCATTAAAAAGTATGAAGTTGACTGTGTTTAATTTGTTTTGTTTGTGTTACTGTTTATTATCTATTTTGGATTTGTTTTATATAATGGTTCTTTTTTATGGTGATGCACATTTGACCCAACACAACTATGCAACAAAGTGATTTGAATATTATTTATCATTTATGACCTGGGCTAGGGCCTAGGCTAGGCCCTAGACAAAGGTAGTCCTAGCCTACTACTAGGCTAGCCCAAGAGGTTGTAGTCACATCTGGAGAAGTTTCGGTGGTACAATGTGCTACAAGCGAAGCCTACAGAAGTCATAGTAAGTTAGTTATGGTTATGCCAGGTTAAGCTGGAGCCTAGGCTAGGCTAGGATTCACAAAAGATGCCGAGTCATGCTCTCAGAAGAGGCTCATCAGCGATTGAGCGTCGTGCTAGAACGCTGAAAGATGATTGTCACCTTCCTGGTTTAAATTTCCGCTCTGAAAATTACGATTTCAATCTCAATATTACGAAAGAAAAACCAGATTTGAAAGACCGTTAAATAACGGATAGCTTCAAATAACTGTTTAGATACTTACACTGTTCCCAGACATAGCTACTTCGATTTTAAAAGTTATTTTATTTTCGAATGGTAGCCTGGTAGCCTGAAACTAAAACTCTACAGAGGTACTCCCATCAACACGATAGTGCGATACTATATCCAGGGTTGCGTTCTTGAGAACAAAAATCACTGAAGCGTGACAACAATCAAGTTTCTAATAATATTGATACAAATAGGCTATTACTGAGTACTTGACTTAAATTCAACTTTTTTTCCAATAGGCCTACTACTAGCAAACGTGAACGACAAAAATAAATGTATACGCCTAACTGAAGAGAAATTGCATGATCTCTGGCCTAAATACAGATAGGACTTCCTTCGATACTTTTTTAACCGCCGTAGTCGAAACTCATCTTTATATAACAATTATATTAAAAGTCCTCAAACCAACTAACCCCCAGGGGTGGGTGGTGCCAAGGTTTGTCGAACGAGGGTCTAATGTAAACGGGAGCCGACTCCCGACGAGAACGTCAGTGAGCGTGGTCAGGCGTAGGTGATCCTGGGAATATGACCATTTTTTAGTCTACTAAATATATCATGTAAAAAATGTAGGCCTATATATCTATACATTTTTTTCTTCTCGCCTACATACAGGGGCGGGAAAGGGGACATGCTATCCACTCCTCGTCCCACTGGCGCCACACCTGACTCCCGTAATATTTAAATATCCCATTAATACATTGCAAATTGACCTCTGAAATAATTGTCTTTTTCGCAGTTTTATGATTATTCCCAAAGCTGTTTTGTGATACAATCGCTCCATGGTAAATTGTCGGCGGCTATATGAGTTTGTTAGGGTGTGATGTTTTTTCAAAGTGAGGGCGGTATTATCAAAAATATGAATAGGCCTGTTGGCATTGCGATCCAGAAGGCTGGGTTTCAAAGTCGCATCCTTCGCCATGCATAGTACGGTATTTGTAGGCGTTATTTTTTTCTAATTTCAAAGTATTTTAGGCCTGATATTTTTTTTCTAATTTCAATACATGGCATTGGTAGGCTATGTATTGATCGTTATCTTCTATATCATTAATATTATTATCGTCATCATCACCCCCACCCCACCTGCCCCTGTCTCTTATACACATCTAGATGTGTATTTTTTTTTTCTACAGTAAAACTCGCCGTGCTATATTACGACGAGTTAACTACTGTAACTAGAAATACCTATGGTACTGTCATTATTGTATGTACACCAAAGTACAATAAAAACTTCTCTACTGATAATGGATCGCCCTTTTTCTCATGAATTCCCATTTTGTATTAATTGAAAAATGATGTTGATAGAGACAACCAAACCTCGACGATGAATACAGTAAGCCTTATCCAAATGGTATACCGCGTACACTCAGGTAAATTTGGGGTGGGTCCTACGTCAACCAAAAATTAAACAGGAAATGCCACAATCATTCCCATTTAATATATTACAGACGAATAATTTCTGTTTTCCCTCTCAAAGTCCAATAACATTAAACCACGGAGGAGATTGACAGATAAGAATATTATACCTCAGTAGTGTGACAGCTGAGCAGTAGCAATCTTGACTGGTAGGCCTACTGTACGTACTGGAAATCACATGAAACCCCACTGATTTCTTGAAACGTGTAAAATAAACATATTGTTAGTTATAGCCTATAAAAGTATTACAAATAAATTTTTACCTGACTGACTTTTTTGTAAGGACGACCACATAATCTCTCGTGTATGAAGAACTCATTGTTATGCATACGGTAATCCTTCCACTTCTGTCGTATGTCATTCCAAATAGCTGGCCTTAGATAAAATAAATACGAGTAAAATTTGTCTGGTAAAAGTGATATTATCGATATGAATAATAATTTATAAGGCCTAATTGTGACATCATTTGTTGGTAATAATTGTACTGATAATATAGGGCCTATGCAGTCCATATCTCCCGTTACCAAAAATTAAGGACTACCGTAGTCTTACCATTAAAAGGAACATGCATAAGTCATACGCCCAAATTACTTAAATAAATTAACTTCGAAGTACAAACACGACATTGGTACCGTAAAATACAGGAATGCAAAAAAAAAAAAAAAAAAAAAAAAAAAAATATTCGATTTAAAACAAATTGCTTTATTGTTATAATTTACCCTTTGGTAAAAAAACATGAGGTGAGAAAAATTGATATCCTCTGTAATACAGTATGAGTAATATTACTGCATCTTTACCTGTTTTAGTTTAGTTTTTATTTGGAATCACTTCCAATACGATGGTGCATCCAAAAGTAAAAAATCAACAGAAAATTGAAAAGAAAATAACTTAACTAAGAAAATCCTTACAGAACTAGAGGTTCGGTAAATAAAGCAAAATGACAACGTTCCATCATACAAATTTATTAATAATAATAATAATAATAATAATAATAATGATAATAATAATAATAATAATAATAATAATAATAATAATAATAATAATAATAATAATAATAATAATAATAAAGTAAATAAGCAACTTAAAATATTGGTGGGACTGTACTTGGTATTAATGTTCTTATAGATAGGCCTATTGTAAAATAATAATGTTTGATCTTTAAAAAGTGGGTAAAAAAAACCCAACATTTTGAGCCCGAAATTGGCAAAAAAAGAAAAAGAACACTGCTGGGACTCGCAAAATCTTACCGATCTTATAAAAATAAGTGTACTCCGTTATTATTTTCTATGTATTTCTTCACGTGATATGATGAGCGCTATACAAATCTTATTATAATTATTATTATTAGAGTACAGTGTAGGCCTAAATGTATTTCCTAAATCTGTAATATTAGAGGCTTATATTGATAAATATCTGATTTTATTAATAAATATTACCTTTATTCCTCTTTATTGTTTTTCAATAACTGTTTTTATTATTTCTGGTAGTGTCTGATTGTTCCACTTTTTTTTATGTAAGAAATTTACAATCGTAATCTGGTGCCTATGCAGGACAAAGAGCAATGTTTCTATTTTTGGATCATAATATACCCTTGTGTAAATTACAAGAGCTGAGAAAAATTAGTTTAAACTCAATAAATGTTCCTCTGCACGGAAATCTTTAGTAAAAGGCGAAAGATTTATGCGTGATGCAGAGAAACCAGAGTAACGTTGAATAGCATGAGGACAGTATATACAAGACATGGTGTACCGTAAAGTCTAGGTTTCAAATATAAAAAAAATGCAATATAAAATTATTTAAATTCAAAAGATAGATATATCTAAAATAATAAATGTATAACAAGTTGTATTAATATTAATAATTGTCATTAATATGATTAAAATATTTATAATAATTAGGCTATGTAGGACTATTACCTAATGAATATGCATCATAATGTAATCAACACGCTCATTCATGAGGATTAGGTTGAGTCCTTAACTATAACAATACATTACAAACAATTAGCATATGAGCTGCGTTTGGTTCAAATGCTGTATTAAACTCATTTTTTTAAGAACACCGAAGTTGAAAATGCTTACAAAATAAAAACAAAATAAGAACAAATTGAGGCTGAGGTAAAATGTCAAATGAGGTTTTCATAAAAAAATAGGAAAAAAAATCAACAAATCACTAGTCACATAGGCCTACAGTAGCAGTAGAAGGTGTGACTATGTAATACCCTCATATACAATATAGTCATATACTGCATGCGTAAAATAATGTCGATCCTTGAAAAGTCGGTAAAATTAATAGAAAATAATAACATTTGAGCGCAAAATCGGCAAGAAAAAAGAAATAACAGTCTGGCAAAATCTTTATAAACGTTATAGACGATGGTGACAGTTGTAGTCATATTACAGGGCTACCGAACTATGGGAAGTACGTAAGATAGGTAAATGCCAAACTAAAGTAATTAAAAGTATAAAAAAATGTTGCAGCACTTACTTAACTATATACGGCATTCTACTCTTAGATCATTATTTACCCTTGTTGATTAACAAGGGCGAGAAAAACTGTCTCTTATACAACGTGGAACCTACTACATCGGATACAACTATATATATATATAAGAAAATTGTAAATAGAATCCCTGTCACACGTGGCAGAGATACGACGGAGTGGAATGCATTTTACAGTTTCTACTTTTGGATCATTATTTACCCTTGTGTAAATTACAAGGGATGAGAAAAATTGAGTTTAAACTCAATGAGTGTTCCTCTGCACGGAAATCTTTAGTAAAAGGCGAAAGATTTATGCGTGATGCAGAGAAACCAGAGTAACGTTAATCAGCATCAGTACAGCATATATGTGACATGAGGTACCGCATGGTCTAGGTTTCAAATATTAAAAATAATGCAATATAAATTTATTTTAAATTCACCAGATAGATATATTTAAAATCATAAATGTATCAAAGTTGTATTGTATATTGATAGTTGTCATTAACATAATTACAATCTTTATATTAAATATGTAGGCGTATTACCACTCATGCATATTCATTACAATGCCATTCATTAACATTCATAGAACAGCATTTACTAATATGCTCAGTCAAAATCAAGCTTAATCCTTAACATACAATACAGAGTACAGACTGTCACACAATACCAGCGCTTTTCGTCCTGGTTGCGTTATTTAAAATAAAACTCGACCAAATTGTATATATATACAATTCAATGGTACGAAGTATTGGTATGTTTCCTATAACTTTTACTTTATAATTACTAACTTTATAAATATTTTACTAATCAACTTTTTTTAAAAGAAGAAATTTTTGAAATCACGTATGAAGTCTCGATTTGATGTAAAATTGTAAAATGTGTTTGGGCACCTTGACTTCTGACGACTAGTGCCTAAAATGTACTAAAAACACGTAAAATATAATAATGAGCGATTGTCATTACAGGTATTATTATTTATTAGCTTTTGGTACACCATTTAAAGCCACCCCGAGTTTCTTTTGTAATCTTCCTTTTCCTTTATCATTTCGTTTTTACATACATTCATTAAGCTTATTTTTAATTACATGTTTACGTTTCTAGGCTGGTCTCTAGTGTATACATTGTGTCTAGTTAACATATTAGTTAACATATTAATCTTAGTTAAATTTAACGTCGGAGATATGTCCTGGTCTCGACCACTCTAGAGTCACTCTCATAGGCTTATAAGATTTCTACAAATGTATACCTTCTTCGAAGCAAGAAATCAAGTTGTCTCTACTCAGTATCTTTCGTTTATATTACAATAATCGGCCAGAAATTTTCCCTATAGTATTATATAGGCCTAATGTAATAGTTGTAAGTAAAGTAAGTAAATCTTTATATTAAATATGTAGGCCTCTTACATAATATACACCGTAGTAATTACAATGCCATTTTCTTCGCATTCAAAGAGCTTACTTCAATCATTTAGTTTCCTCCATGCTTGAATTGTGAGGAGCTAACTCATAAATCGGGCTTAAAGGGAGGCTGCAGAATTCAAACTTCTATTAAATAATATAAAGAAGGGATATGTGCGAACACATCGACAGGGGCGTCACATATTTTTGAAGCGCGGTAGACGAGAACGAGGGTTGTCAATTAGGTCCCTAAAACAGCTGGTGCTAAAGGATTTAGTAGGAGTTAGTGTTGAAAGATAGGATACAATAAAACCATCTCAATACAAACCATCTTGCGGCCGTTCATTCCATTGCCTTGCTTCACATATATAAAATTCGTTCAACGTCGTTTTTGTAAGCTGTTTAGTTCAAATGCTGTACTGAATACTCCATTATATTTCCAATATATTTCTTCACTATGGTTATGTATAGCGTTATTACTATTGTGATGTGAGCGCTATACAAATCTTGTTATTATTATTAAAGTGGGCCTAATTGTATTTTCTTATCACTTTAAATATTTTAGGCCTATATTCATGTCTGATTTTGTTAATAACTATTCTATTCATTCCTTCATTGTTTGTCAGGAAAGCATAAATCATCGAATAAGCGCTGCTCTTGAATAAGAGCAGCGCTGGGCCGCTCTCGAATAAGCGATGCGATGCTTATCCGAGTGAATAAATGCCTGCAGATAATGAAAGATTGAGAAACAGGGTAATAAATGCAATGACACAAGCAAAATCTTTATAAACGTTTATTGACGATGGTGACAGTTGTCATATTACAGGGCTACCGAACTATGGGAAGTACGTAAGATAGGTAAACGCCAAACTAAAGTAACCAAAAGTATAAAAAATGCTGCAGCACTTACTTAAATATATAAGGTATTCTACTCTTTGATCATTATTTACCCTTGTTGATTAACAAGGGCGAGAAAAATTGAGTTTAAACTCAATGAGTGTTCCTCTGCACGGAAATCTTTAGTAAAAGGCGAAAGATTTATGCGTGATGCAGAGAAACCAGAGTAACGATGAAGTGGTAGACGTCAGTATATATACGACGTAGCATACCGCAACGTGCAGGTTTCACATATTAAAAAATAACAATTTAAACGTTAAACTAAATCCAACTGCTAATCCTATATTTATTAAAGTTACATTAATAGTAAATGTGCACATTTATACAAAAGTTTATAATTACAATAACTAAAATCTTTAAAACAAAATATTGTAAGTGTATGTTTTATCTTATGAATATTTATTATAATCTTCTAGAGAGCTTGCCTTCTAGAGAGGGCGTTATCATGTTTAGTTACGCGTAAACGAGAAGCATGCCAAAACATGGCCAAAACAGGCTTCGGTCGGTCTGTTGGATCTCCATAACCGCGCTACGTCTGTTTGGAGTCTACTATTTCATTTCGAGTAGCTAGGCGGTACAAATGTATGAGGCGCCAAGTGTAAATTTATTAACACAATTATTTATATACAGTAATTCATTATTTAAGATATATATTAAATAGGTCACCCATTATTTATATATAATGCATTTACGTCTAAAAGATTATATGTAAATAATTGCGTTAACGTTTCATTATTTATATATAATTAGTTTACTGATTACGCAAATTGTAAGTTACTTTTTATTTATATATAATGATTTTTTACCTTTTCATTATTTATATATAATGTAATGAACAAACTTAATATATATAAATAATTGTAAGTTATTTTTTGTTATTTATATATAATGATGTGTTACCCCTTCCTTATTTATATATAATGAAGCCAGTAATCTTATATATAAATAATGTTTGGTTTGCCTTTTATTATTTATACGGTATATAATGTAATCAGTAAACTAATTATATATAAATAATGAAACGTTAACGCAATTATTTACACATAATCTTTTAGACGTAAATGCATTATATATAAATAATGGGTGATCTATTCAATTATATGTTAAATAATGAATTATATATAAATAATTGTGTTAAATATTAAATGTACACTTGGTGCCTCATACATTATTTAGTACCCCTAGCTATCCGAAATGAAATAGTAGACTCCAAACAGACGTAGCGTGGTTATGGAGATCGAACATGACCGAAGCCTGTTTTGGCATACTTTATATACGGAGTGTATTGCTTGCTAGCTAGGCCTAGGCCTAACAAACACTTTGCAGTTGAGTTTGCTGGTTACTGTAGATTTTTTTGAAAAAATAATTCGATGGAAACGTTGAAATGGTATGTTGTACTTTAATGATATAGGCCTATGTATTATTTAAAAGAAAACGGTCCGAACCTAGTAGGCCTAGGCCTAGCTAGGCTTGGTTGGTAGGGTCAGAGGCTTTATAGTAATACACGACTGCTGGGTTACGCCGGCTATAGGCCATAGCTAAGCTAGTTCTAGCATCTACAGTAGTCTAGGCTAGGCCTAGTCTAGGCGGCAGGTTTAGCATAGCCCATAGGCTAGTTCTAGCGTATGCCTACACTGATACCAAGAGCTAACTGGCATTACAAGTAAATCATAATAATGATTAAATGAAGCAGTGTGGGCATAATAAGGTTAAGGCCTAGTCCAGTGGCTGTTGAGTTGTTGTTGTTACAACAGTAGTCTTAAAACCAATTCATAATTCTTTAGTTAATTTTAAGATGGATTTTATTGTATGCATGGCGATTAGGACAATAACATCCAGTCTAAAAATGCCCCTAAAAAGTTTATATTGTTGTTAATATTCTAATTAATTTTGGCATTTCATTTACAAGATTACCATAACAGCCACATTTTCTGATTTTTCCAGCAATATACGTGTACCATTTGGGACAAATCGTGAAGCAGAGATTGCCTATCGAACGTTGCGTGTTGATAAAGAACCAAGAAAAGGAGATGTCACTAAGGTGTTGTCATTTCAAGACAATGTGCTAACAGCGTAAGATATACATTTTGAGTGATAATGATAACACAAGGCTAAAATAAAAAAGCAAAAAGGAAAAAAAAGCTCACCATAGATTTATAATACAGTTTATTTACCTTATTACTGTATCATAACATGTAAAAAGCACTATCCAAATACAATTTTGTTATGTATGTAATATCATATAATATCATCACAACTTCATTTTACACCTCGCTTCCAGAACGCATGGGTTTAAATTTCTTGTTTTTAGATTGTGATTTTGTTTGCGGGAAGTTGAAACCCATGATGTATTTTAGAAGTGGCAAATCACTCCAGAAAAGTACTATAATTTTAATTAACGTACACTACCTTTATTCATTGCTATGCACCATATATTTATTAGTCACATTTGTGCATTGCTATTCCAAAATGCATGAATTACAGTAGTAACAATTTTTTTTGGGTTATTTTTCAAACTTGTATTTCAGTGACATTACCGCAGTTCAGGCCAGGCTGCTTCGTGTTGCTGTGAACTCATTCATGGATCATCTTAATCTTGTTGTACAGACTATCGAACAATTTGGGCCTCCTGTTGATAAAACGTAGCTTAATATGGCCACACCTAAGCTAAATATATTTCATCATTTTGATTCGTCATTGAGAGGATCCGTTGAATGTGATAAGTGGAGGAAAAAGCTGCAACTTTATATCTAGTTGAAAGCAGTGATTATAAAGGGAATAGAGTGGTCACACAAAGCTTCGAAAGAATACTTTTGGGTTTCTTTATCCTCTAAGTTGAAAGAAGTAATTGAAGAAATAGACAATTACGAAAATGCGTTCTCTATTGACGCCGTCAATATTGCTGGGGACCTCCTTGGGTTACCCCTGTGTGTACGTATGATTCAGATATTCACATTTGTAGCAAATGAACTATGGCATCTGCAGCTCTGGGAGAATAATCCTTGTATTTTGTAATGGATTGGTCTGTAGAGTGACCACACACAATATCAGTGGGATTAATATTGTGTATTACTGTTGCAATATTGGTATGAAGTGCCTAGTGATAATTTCATTGAAGGCCATTCCAAAGCTTTAAGGCAGTGATGCACTGAGTGTTCTTTCCCTGTATGCTGTTATTTTGGCTAATGTAAATTATGAAAGTGATGGAAGAGATGTGGAACAGAGTACCAGAGCATCGTTGCCATAAAAAACTAACACAAGTTCAATTAATGTGCTATTTGATGAAATGTTTTTGTCAGGAAGTATAAAATCAGTGAAAATGAAATTTATTTGAACTGTCCATCATTTTGATATTGATAATTAGGCAAGGGGTTATATCCCCTAAATTTTACCATCAGTGTATTTAAAAAAAATATACCATCTTTTATATTCTAAAAATTTTATTTTGTAGGCTAAATTATTAGAATAATACAGAAGTACCTGAAACAGAGGGAGGTAGTCCCAATAATCCAACAACTGTTAATTTGTCCTATTAATGGGCAATTTTTTTAGGTCAGATGGTATAAAAGAGAAATATGTTTTTCAAGATTTACTGTACAGACACAAATAAAGAAAAAACAAATTTTAATGTCATTGTTGACCTTTTATTGAATGTTATTTAATTTGCATTTAAATGTACACCTGCATTATCAATGCAAATTTATTCAATCAGCTTGTGTAATGTCCCAGCATTGTAGGCGCACCACACAGCCAAACATGCATCGGTATATAATGTGCACCTGCACAATCATTGTATCCTGCAATTAAAACATGCACCTGGAGGTAAATCACCTGTTTTCATAAAGTGCACCTGCACTTTCATCTGTGCAATAGATTTCATATTACAGTAATATACAATTTTATTGAAACATGCACCCGGCTATTCACACCTGTACTCGTGTAGTGCACATGTTAATTTACTTTAAAGCGTGCACAATTCAGGCGTGCACCTGATATGTACAGTATTCAACACCTGATTTTAAGAACACCTGATTTTATAACGTGCATCTGTATATTGATGATGTACTTTTTGAATCTCGCCTGTATTCATATTCAAGAGAATAAAAGTAAATTTGATGAACAGGTGGCAGAAATGTATTGCTATTATGATTTTACTTCATCAAAAATGTATATAGTTACATCGATAAAGCTCCAGTATACAGTAATTCAGAATGATTACCATACATCTCTATTAATCTCTTATTTTCAAATACATTTTGCATTATTAATTCATAATGATTTTTGCAAATGTATAGCATATATTTTATTTTGTTCTCACACTTAACCTACTTACACTCAGCCTTAAACTTATTCCTTTAATTTATATAGAGCTTATTAACTCTCATTTATAGTGTTAAATTAACATTAATGAATGATGCTTGTTAGACAAATATCCTCCAAATAATATTGAAGATTACAAAAAACTATAAATCAATGCATGGGTAGAACGGATTACTACGGCATATGTACTTAAGCAACATATGCATAAAAATATAGACACATCACACAGTTTAGTTCTTTTTTAGTTCTGTAAATTACTTTGGTCAGGTAGAACGTAAGAAACAGGGGTCATAATGTCCCCCCAAAAGTCGCGGGAGTCTCCCGGAAATCGGGACAGCCTCCACGACTCCCGTATGCAAAGCAAGAATCTCCCGGAAAGAAACCCACCTCCCGAAAATTTATGACAATTTGCATGTTTTCACTACTTGTTATCAATTTTCTCACGGAAGTCAGTGCCGATTGGGTATTGCCGTGCTCAGAAAAATAAAATAAAATATGTTCAGAGCTCATTCAACCAGATATCCCGGATAGGCTTTCTTCCAACATGGGACCCCTCTAACAAATGTAATGTCATCAAGTCATTAACTCTTACAAATTGTGAATTACAGTATATATTAGACACCGTTTTTCCACTATACTATTATGGTCACGCATGTAACACACAAGTTAACAAATATAAACATGACGTCATTGAACATCGTACACGTCAAAGGTCTTAATTAAACCATTGATTATCAGTTTACGGACATCTCCAGAGAATGTCTGTCAACCATGCATACTGAATCAGCATCTGGTTCAGGTGTTGGATTGACAGTAAAATTAGCCATAAAAATTTTGTTCAATAATATTTATTTTTAAAATGTTATTACACTTCATATATTTGTTATTCAGCATCAGCCATCATCTCTTGGTTATCTTAGTACCTGACAAAAGAATGAGAAAATAAAAAATGGTGAACAAACAAATCATCATCAGATTAATTATATTGTTGCCAATAAATATGCATTTAAATGTAAGAAATTATATGTTTACAAATAAGGAGTCTATAGTATGCATATTTCAAAAATTGTATTTTGAATGTTGCTATCCTAAGACCTGTCTCTTATACACATCTAGATGTGTGTAAGAGACAGGGTTGCATTTTAATGGGCTATCCAATTATTGATATTTCAACTAAACAAGGTCAATTAATCTGCATGAATTATTCAAAATGATTAGTGATCTTAATTTTGTAATTGTTCTTTTTATATTTTTATGCATATACCAATTATACATTATGTATTTTTACCTGTACATGCTCCATGCAATCACATGCACAATTATATTTTTAGTGGATTCACAATTCTTTTACAAATTAGGAGACCATGCATGTGTGATTATGAATGGTGATGACATGAAATGATGAGATGAATGGTGATACAGCACTATAATTACATCTATGAATGGTGATGAAATCAAGTTATGCGGTAAATGGTGATAATTTTATTGATGAATGATGATGACTAAGGACGACAAGTGATGAGATGAATGAGATGTGATGAAATAAAATAATGACATAATGAATGGCAAGTACTAGGCTATATATTGATGAATAGTGATGACTGGTGATGAAAAAAAATAATGCGATGAATGGTGATAATTTTATTGATGACTGGAGATAAATAAAGTTATGTGATGAATGGTGATGAAATGTAATGATAATGATAATGATGATGTAATAAATTTATGAGATGAAAGGCAGTGATGCCATTTATTGTGATAATTAATTGTAATTATGACTGGCAGAGAAATAATGAGAGGTACTCTTTGGTGGAGATACAACTGCTGACAAAATTCCTTGTCCATGGACAAAAGCAAAATGTGCTGCTAGTATTTCCAACTCCTGATCTGAAAGCCAAATGACCTGACCTTAAATAAACTGCAATGATGCTGAATGTGATGAAATGAGATGAATGGTGATGATAAATTTTAATGATGATGAGTTAGTGAATAAAAATATCTATGATAATGATTAATAAAAAAAAAAAATTGAAATTAATAAAAATTAATATTGATGATAATAAAGAATGCACGATAGATGACCATGCAAAGTGATGAAAACATTCCTGAAGGTTAAAAAAAAAATGATGATGAATATAAAATTAAATGTGAATAACAACAGTAAAAGTAATGCTGAAATTATCAAAAGCAACTCTCGAGCTATCTATCCAAACAGTACCAAGAAATAGAAACTGAAAAATTTTTAAACAAAGCAGGACTTACTTATCAGCAAGAAATGAAAACAGATAAGTTTAGAAATAAATATGGTTGTAAGGATTTGTGCATTTGGCCATGCTAACGTGCCTACTACCTGAATAATAATAAGTAGGCCTATGTACAGTTTTTACAAGGTGTTTCAAAAGTCGTCAAAATCTTCGCTACTGCACGAGCTTAGTCGCTCCCAATGGTCGATCAGGTTTCGGATGTTACGTCGAGTGGTTGGCATAGCGCCCCTGAAACGGCCAAATGAATGGCCTGCTAGGCCTAACTGCGTCAATTTAACAGGTTACATGGTCATTTCGGGCAGGGTATGAGCATTCACCCCATGGCAGTCAAGATGATGAGGGGACTTAAATATTCAAACGTGTGTAATTTTATTCAGTAATTAATTTTGCGCAGCAATATGCATGCATGGTTAATCATTTCGCACAAAATCAACAAATTCTTCAGCAACAAAATGTGCAAGAACTAAAAGGGATATCCCTTCAAAGATCACATATGTGTCATTTGTTTTCAAAAACATAATCTATAGGTAGTAGGAAATAGGGTCAAATGAATACTTAATATCAATAATGTGATCCATGAATGGGCAACTAAAATACATGCAGACAAATTAGCATCTAAAATGATCTCTTAGAGGGGACATAAATGGTCCCGACAATCCTAGGAGGGCCGACACTTGACCAAGTTACCATAGCAACAGGTCATTAAGGTCAGTCCCTATGAAAAATAACAATCCATTCATACGTTCATGACCCTGGGAGACTGTGCTAATTACCACAAACAATAGTATTACTTTCACTAATAAAATATAATTCAAATACTGTTAAGTTTTCATTATTAATTGTTACCCAATTTTGTTGTGTCATTGCCCTACCTAAAATTGCCTGCCGGATATTTCCCCCCCTTTTCCTAAATGGTTGCTTACTGTGCTGCATGCAAGAGTGGAGGGTTTGGTAAAAGCCATTGTAAGGGGAGAGTACATACCTGTAGTAATTAGGCTTGAATGGTCCAGACTTATTAAGGCCAAGATATTTGGCTTGATCATCAGTTAATTCAGTTAGATGAGCATCGAATGATGGTAGATGAAGGCTAGCAACATATTCATCTAATAAACAAATAATCAAATTTTTGTAATAAAACTATTTGTAGGATATAACCATAACATTCACATCTTACAAGAAGTTTATAATAAAATAAGACTATAGATAAATTTTGTCATTGTCAACAAACGATGAAATATGCAATCCTGGTACACATTCTCAGCCCATGAAATTAGGAAAAAATTAGGTCGGCAAAAATTTGCCGACCTTAAATTCTCCGAGGTCGACAGCCTCGGCAATTTTTTACTACCTAGGCCTATATAGTATAAACTACAATTTTTCCGAACGCTCGACCTTACGTCGTCAACTACAGACTATGATTTTGTTAATTTCTCGATTAACTCAATATATTGCTGGTGAAAGAATGGTCGTACTTGTATTAATTTAATAGTATAGTATAATACATATGTTTTACATAAAAAATCGCCGAATAAATTTCGTTTTAGCTTTCGTTTTATCGTTATCTTTGGCATAGGAAATATCACTTTCGTAAAAAACTATGATCATATCATCACAGGCTGCTTCAAAACTGCCCATGCATGTCCATGCGCATGCTCAGAATGATCTATCAGGGATTTTCCACACATGTACAGTTACTTGTCAGTAGTGAAGTCACGATGTGATCGTGATTGCGTTTAAATGGACGGTAGGATTAGGCCTACAATATGTTGAATTTTGTTGTTTTTAGATAATAAACAACATTTTAAATATGATAATAATACTGTAAAATGAAGACAAATAATAAATTTACATAAGCATTACGATCTACGCGGCCCACGTGGCTTCAATTGTGCGATGTTGTAGGCCTTAGCTGGCTAGCGTCATTCCTACCTAGGCTACGAAAAGACTAGGCGAGAAAGAGAAGACGATTGTACACAAATCGTACGTACTACTAGTTATTGTACAAAGAAATCTGTTTTATGAACCACCAATTTCCTTGGTTTGACGACGTACATGAAATTTATAGCCTGTTTTTGACAGGTCGGCAAAAAATTGCCGTCCTGTAGCAATTCTGGCTCAGCAATATGGTCGGCAATTGCCGACGTGAAATTCGTGGGCTGCATTCAGCTCCGGTCATTAGGGAGCTTCACTGTTTGCCTGTTGAGTGTAGAGTTGTTTTTAAAATCATTCTTACTGTCTTCAAAGGCTATTCCTCTTCCTATTTATGCACACTCCTTACTCTTCACGTTCCAACTTGGACTACTCCATATTCCTCTTCACTTAACTACATTGTACCAAATTGCAGTAAGAGGATCGGAAGTTTATCATATTCAGTTTATGCTGCCCAACTCTGGAATAATCTTCCACATGATCTTAAGAACATTTCTAATGTTAATATTTTCAAAATATTCCCTTAAAACCCATCTTTTTCACAACTTGTATAGCGAACCTGCAGCCCGCCAATAATTATTTTGAATAAAAGTAAAATTTTGTTTTGGCCAATTAGCGCATTAGCTGCCATGAAAAATGGAAATTTCAGAAAAAAATAAAAGTTCTTTATTTTTGTTACACCCACCACTGTCTTGAAATCTCCAAATATAAGATATTTATATTTCTTCCTAATAGTATAAATTTAAAGCATTTAACTATCCCATTACTACACTGTATTTACTTTGAGGATGAGTATCAACTCTAAAGAACATGTATTGACTTAAAGAATGAGCATTAACATTGCATATTATTATCAGTTATCTAGTTTTCAGGTTAAATTCTTACCCAATTTCTTTGGTAGTAGGTAGACATCTTGCTTGTAGCGTCCTTTGGGAGCATTAAAAAGTTCTATGAGAGCTAGGCCTTGGGTTGTTGCTGTGATAGACACCACAAATGAGGGAACACTTGAACAGCTCAAGTTCACCAGACGTCCCTGAAGAAGTTAAAAGGGAATTATCCATAGAGCGCAGCAGACTCTTCTATACATGAAATTAAATGATTAATGCAAAGCAAACTTTTTTAACAATTCTGTCAAGTGAAACTACTGCAACAAACCTGTGCCAGAAGTAGGATTCGCTTGCCATCTGGCCAAATAACATGATCAACCTGTGAGCGAACCTTCTCCCATGTCAGGTCTGGTGTACGAAGGCTAGCCTGCAAATGCAAATAAAAGAAGTATTGGAGATAATGATAATAACTGATTTCTATCCATTACATATTTCTTAATAAGAACCACTGAAATGTTCAATATATACTTATTTCCTGAGACTATTGCAGATACTCCTCTCATGACAGAAAAATATTAAGAACATACCGTACTCCATATATTTTAAATTATTTATTAGGTTTGCATTGCACATAATATCATACTATAGTCTTTGCTTATGTTCCTCAGGTCATTGAACACTGAATCATCATAGGCAATGTGAAACCTTCTCCATTGCCTAGGGAATATAATCCTAGTGGAGCATACTCTAAGCAGCACTACACAATTTCATTCCAAATTATACACATCCTACTGGAGACACATTCAGAGTGGCAAGACAAATATACATAAATTATCTTGCCTAAGGGACACAAAACAGGCTGACCAGCATCAAAGTTGAGCCCACTGCCCTTTGGTTGAAAGCCCAGACATAACACCTCACACAGCTAAGAACTAATTATTCCTTTCAAAAATAATTGCACCTCTATGAGGCTTTGCCTGAAAGTTGGTGGAATGCATTTCACTTAGTAAAATCAATTTATGTATTTTTTTTCAAATGTTCAGTTGGGAGAAATCTTCTATTTGCACAAATTGATCAGAGAAATTAGAAGAAAAAAAATCCAGAATTATTATTTATTATTTAAAGCAATACAAATGGCTATCCAATTGGGGAAAAAATTCCATTTTGGGGTAACATCAAATATTAATCAAAATGGAATTTCTTTCCAATTGGATAGCTCTTTGTATTGCTCACTTCTAATTTCAAATATTACTGTAATCAAAGATGCCCAAGAAATATTTTTGTGAAACATTTTTGTTTCATTTGATTTTGTCAAGGAAGCTCCCTCGACAGCAGACATACCCTGGGGAATATTCCTAGTAATAAATGTAGACTTGCTTTCATTTTATAATTGTTCTTACTTTTTCATTACAAATTTGAGGGAAGAAATATTATATATAATATGATATAGTTATGCATAACTATTAATATTGTTAATTAATTAACAAGATTAAATTCTTTCAGAAATTTTAGAAGTATTCAAGTTTTGTATGCATTTTGATACACATTACAATAACAAAATCATCTTGTATCAAGTAAGCATTTGACTTACCACATCAATCTCTGTGTTAGAGTGTCCCATATTGCACACAATACACCCATTCTTAAGTCGATCCAGGTGTTGGCGGCACACAATTTTTTTATTACCTAGCACACATTTAAAGAAAATACACAATCAGTTTAACAAGATCATTGTTTTTAGTACTGGGAACACACTAAAAGGCTGTAAAGGAATACAATGTTCATGCTTACACAGATATGGAACAAAACATACTTGATTTGATTATCTTAATTGGAACTAATAATCAATTCAATTTCTTTAAATGCTGCATATGAAATCATGAGTCCATATCTGCACAATATAGATAAATGAGATAAAATACAATTTATTATTTAAAACCACATTCATAGAGGGTGACCCAGAAAATCCTAAAAGGTCAGCTGATATTCACAAGCACTATTAAATAATTATTTAATTAATGAAATAATGTGATGATTTACCTGCAAAGTTTCATTACAAGTCTCAGGGAGTCAAATGTGGTTTTAGTCATGAAAAAAAATCCTGACCCTTTCAGGATTTGAACCCAGGTCCCTGGATTTGGAAAGGAAAGCATCTAAGCTACATCTCCACTCCATTTGACAATAATGTATACTATGACAATTATCAATTCAAAGGTAGGGAAGACACTTCACAAATGTTGAAATGACCGCATGCACCAACATAAATCAAATATGCATCCTGAAAGAGGCATGTCAATCCGCTAAGGTCCCAGTGACATACCCCACCCTAATCAAACTATGCATCCAAAGGTCGGGACATTACTCTGCTAAGGTTTAGTGACCCACATATACCTATCCTAACCAAACTATGCATGACAGGGTAATGTAACCAGCAATAAAAGTAAGTTCTGAAATCATATTATCTTATTCTCATCAACAGTGACTAGCCAATTACAGGATGGAGGTGATGCTCTATAATCTACTAAAGCTCTGTTCATACTATCAAAAAACTGTTGTATGCCCATATATAGTCATGTAGTGCCTAAATATGGTCATGATGTGATGTCATAATGACTACATTTAGGCATGTTGCATGTTTTTGGGCTTAAAGGCCAACTCAGACAGCGTCGGCCGACGCAGCCCGACGCGATTTGCTGTCGCGTCGGGTCTGTGCGAGTTGAACGCAGACGCGATGGTGTGCGTCGGGGGCAGTCGCGTAGTAGAATATTAAACATGTTTAATATTTCTCACGACGGCTTAAGACTGTCCCCGACGATAAACCAGGTCGGGCTGCGTCGGCCGACGCTGTCTGAGTTGGCCTTAAGATTCATTAAGAGGCTTAAGAAGTAAAGTTGTTATTAGACTTGAAATCACAGGACTTGAACCCAGGCTCCTGAGAATGGAAGGTGTACATCTTAATCACCAAGCTACCGTTCCAGTCTAAAGTTGATTTCAAATCATTTACGATTCAATTTGAAGGGGCGACGCAATTAATCTTTTGTGATGTCCCAAGAGCATCCGCTTAATGAAGTAACTTATCTAAGCTTATCAAGAGGGGATAGGCAGCATTGCTAATTTAATGAGTAATTCTACACAGTGGTTTATGATGTTAAGCCTTGGAGTATATCAATAACATTGTAGAAAGGTGAAAAGGCAGTAAAGATTGAAAACTACTTGACATTTAGAATAACATTTGAAAAGTGCGTTGGAAGTTGAATTTGAATCTTCATATAATTAACTCTGTTTATCTCTCTCCCACACTTTCCTATTTACAGTTCTGAATAATTCTTAGTCATTTCTTGACTAGCCAATATGTGTATTTTAGTTTTTCTTGGCAATATTAGGAAAATTTGATTGTGCAACAACAATGTAGTCATAGGATGGATCCATTCAGAGCCTGTGAATCTGATGACAAAGCTTAGAGGTTATATTCTATTTTAACTGATGAATCAATGTTTTAGACAGCTGTGTTATCCTGTCTCTTATACACATCTAGATGTGTATAAGAGACAGGAATGGAAGTTTGCCTTCTTTCAACTTTTTCCCCCTGCAAAAAATGGATAAGGCAATATTTTCAGAAATTTAAAGGTGAACATGCTTCAACTTTGTTCACATCAGCTACAACCATTGTGGGACTGAGGTGAGTGAAGTGAACAATTAATAACCACCTGAAAAAGTTTGAAAACCTAGGACTTAGTTAACACAGCCATCCATACTGAAATGTAACAAAAGATTTTTTATCACAAAATAATGTCTATAAGTTGATGATAAAATGAATATATTAAGAATTTTTTAAACTATTTTATACAACCTAACAATACAATCTTTAAAGCATTGAAGGGCCAGTTGAAATTTGGCAGGTTTGTAAGTAGGAAACACAGGATGCAAAAGTTTCAAATAATTAACTATATCATACCAGGCTTGTAAAGCACAGATGGGGTCAATTTCTGAGACGTAAACAATAGCACCAAGACCCTTGAGGGCAGCACAACAGCCCTTTCCGACTTCACCGTACCCGCAAACAACCACTTGTTTGCCACCGAACATCACGTCTGTGGTTCGCTTCAGCGCATCCAGAATGGATTCACGGCAACTATACAGGTTGTCAAATTTAACCTAAATGGGAAATTATGAAAAATATTAAATAAAATCAGAGAGTCTTGATTATAAATATTTTCCTGAATAACTACTGTGATTATTACTAGAAGATGAAAGACATATTACACTTCATATTCTTATAAGCACAATAAGAGCATTAAATAACATACTCGTTACAGAAAATCAAAGGGATAGTTTACATTTTCAAAAGATATGAAAGGATGAAAATGGGGTCAAAATGAACTTTGAGAATTTAAGCCTTGTGCAGACTATTAAATTTTATTTGACAAAAACATGTGACATGCCTAAATATGGTCATGATGACATCACATCATAACTATATATAGGCACATCATGACTATATATGGACATACAACAGTAAAATTTGATAGTGTGAAGCTTTATAGGGGAAATTATACATATAGTCAAATTGTAAATAGACACTTTACGCAAGAGGACGGGGAAATTCAGGTTAAGCGTCCAAGTGTTTACTGTGGGCTTCACGCTCTGATGAGCACAGAACCACCATCCACCTGTCTTCCTGTCCTATATCGTTTATAGGTTTGCATGGCAAAGTAATAATACATATTAATGCTTGTGGTACACCACATGGACAATTCTATTGTTGGTTGAGAATGTCTCGATTGTCTTCAATCGTCTTCAGGAGAATAATATCTGCAGAAAATTTAAAAGCAGGGGAATACTTATATGTTTGGGTAGTGAGACTTGTTGCTGATTTTTGGAAAACTAAACAATAACTGAGACTACATGTGAAAAGGCTAATGCAAAAGCCAGTATTCACAGCCAGTGCCTGAGGGTGGGGGCGTGGCTAGAAAGCCAAGACAGTGGCATGGTTTCCTTCCAGTGTGGTGTGAAATGTATTGCTTGGTTTTCAGAAAAGGGATTTCCCTGAAAAAGAATGGTGAGAACTTGTTTTAAAACGAGTCTTTATTAAGCAGGTGGCAGTTCAAAGTTAGTTTCCAGCATTTAAATAAAAAGGGGATTTCCCCTAATAAATGAACGAAATATCCTAACATATCTTTCCTTCTGATTGGATGTAACAAGTATGTAGTCTATTTCTTCTCTTGATTAGCCAAACAAATTTTAAAGCATTAATAAAATTCCTAATTATTCTACTGAGGATTTTTCTTAAATGAATTCTTCATTCATTTATTAGGGGGAAACCCTTTCTATTTAAATTCTGGAAACTTAATTTAAACTGTCATCTACTTAAAGACTTGTATTAAAACAAGTTCTCACCTATTTTTTGGGTAAACCCCTTTTTTATTTGAAGTCTGAAAACTCAGTTTGAACTGTCACCTACTTAATAAAGACAATTCTTTAGGGAAAACCCCTTTTTATTTCAAGTCTAGAATCTGCCTTTGAACTATGACCCATTGAATAATTACCTTGGTGACGGAATCGTTGACATTCATTGCAGGTACACTTAGTTTGCCTGACTTAGACAGCTGATACAGCCTATGCACCCCTGTTACAGACTCCTCCACAATACCTTTGATTAACTTGAAGGTTTCTGGGCATTTCTTCAGCATCATGTGTGTTGCGTCCCCACCGTCGTCCAGGATCTATAGTAAGAAAATATGTCAATATTAATATATCATAATTATATTAATATTTATGAATATGCATATCAAATTTTGATACATCATGAAGTATATTGTCGAAAGCTACATATAGAGTAAAGTTACTGTATGTTCACACTAGAGCCCTTGTATCCAGATTGGGAGCTAACCGTTAGCACCCCTGTGAGAACACCCAATCGGTTAGCGCTAACCGTTACCAGGATCAGTCTAAATTCCTGTCCTGACTATCAAATTTTTTTTGGACAAAAACAGTTTTATGCCCATACATAGTCATGAGGTGCCTATATATGGTCATGATGTGATGTCATCCTGACCATATTTAGGCATGTCATAGGTTTTTGTCAAATAAAATAAGAGTCTGGACAGGGCTTTAGTATGTGTATGATATACACCTTTCTGTCATTCATAACAGAAATAAAAAGATAGGAAAATATCATCTAGGTCTAAATTTTACTTACTTTCAAATAAGACAAGAACAGGAAAACATGTAAATATACCGTGAAACCTCAAATTGAAGCCCTGGACTGCTTCTTTTTTCTTTTTTTTTTCAAACTTAGGATAGGCTTCTTTTGCAAAGTAAAGAGATGGGCTTCTTTTCAAAAAAAATTTTGTGAACTATAAAACAATAAATAGGGCCACTGTGTAACATCAATCTGTATCATCATCAATCTGTTTTAACCGGCAATAAATCACCTAAACTATAGTATAAACCAAGCAAGTTTTTAATATATTTTGTTTCTTTGAAATTTATGTACAGGGTATGTACTGTACTATCTTGAAAAAAAAAAAAACAGCCCATGCTATCTTCAAAAGAAGCCCATGGGCTTATTTTCGAGGCTACTCTTGCAAACTAAAGAGGGGGTTTCAAATCGAGATGGGCTTCTTCTCGAGATTAAGCAAATTGGGCTTCAATTCAAGGTTTTACTGTATTGTTGCAAGTCAGTTCCACCACAATCCACAAAGTTTATGCGGTAGGTAAAGTAACATTTCATACTCTGAAGCAATGTTAAAGGTACCAACAAATATATCGTCTAAATAAATGACGTCCAAGTTCTTACCATATTTGGTTGCCATCCGTCGGCTATTATACACTTCTCAATACACCACCAGAAGTCATCCTCTGATTCACCCCTCCAGGAGAAAATGGAATATCCTGCCTCAGCCAGGGCTGCTGCGACCTCATTTTGTGTTGAGAATATGTTGCATGCACACCATCTTACATTGGCTCCCAGAGCAGACAGTGTTTCTATTAGCACCTGAAGAAAATTGAGAAATGTTAATTGCATGTCTTTCCACGGAGTGTGCTTTTAATTTCTTTGCATAATAAATTGTAGAAACATGTGGCGCAGTGTGTAAGGCAATTGGGTTTTCAATCAGAAGGTCGGGGGTTCGAGACCAATGCTCGTCACACTGCTTGTGGCCTTGGGCAAGACACTTTATTCGCATTTGCCTCTTCTCACCATAAGAATAAATGAGTATCTAGTAGAAGATGAATGATTCGGAATAAAATTTTAGTAGTGCTGATTACACGCATAACTAGGAATACTCCCCAGGGAGTGGAGGAGGTTGCACGTTGTGTACGATGGACTTTGTATCCAATGACACGAAAAAAGCGCCTTAAGCAGTTTTCTGGATATGTGCGCTAATCCTATTAAATAAATAATAAAATAAACTAATATCAGCAATAATAACAACTACCAATAAAAATTAAAAGAAAAATCAGAAATAACATCTTAATTATCACCATAGCCACCACCATTCATCCCATTGCTATAGCTACTGTATTACCATCAGTACCAGCAGAGCCACAACAGTAATAGCGAGAATGCCAATTAGTTCAGACTAGGTGAATAAACCTGGCTCAACCCACCGGGTTTATCCACCTGCCAGTCTGAACTAGGTGGCTTATCTCAAGCCGGGCTGTGTTCCTATAGTAACTAGGCCTGGCGTGCCATTGTGTTTAACTTTTCTAAGCCAGGCTTTATCTTGCATTGACTTCGGATGACGAAATGACCAATCAACATTCAATTACGTTCGCTGTGAGCGAGCGTACATTTCGCAAGCAATGTTTTGAAACACGTTTCCTGGTTACGGTTCATTATTATGCAAATTCTTGCCTGACTAAACCCGCTAGTCTGAACGCCCGGCAAAGTTAAGCCGGTCTTAACGTTGAGCCAGGCTTAACTCAAGCTTATCTCCAAGTCTGAACACAGCCTAAGATACTTTTGAAAATGTTATTAATCACCGTCCTCTCTTTTATTGACTTTATTTTCAGTATATATTTACTAAAGTATTTAAATTTGTGACTTAATCTCAACCACAATGGAAAGCAAATCCTCTGAATTAGGATGACATCCAGAATTTAAAAAAATTACTGATTACCATCATCATTGTAAATGCCACAAGCATTGTCAACATCTTTCTTATTAGCTATAACAATAAATTTACAGATATAGCGCACCACGCTAGGCTTCCATGCGATTCACATAATTATTATCTTGGTCATTGGATTATTAATAGCACTACAAACCAACATCACCATCTTCAATTTCACTGTTATTTGTTTATGTAGCGTATTTTCCTTGCAGTTCTAAAGCTGTATCACCATGACCACCATCATACATATACACAACCCATTACTTATAGTTCTAAATTAATGAAATAAAATGAGTGATAGCTGTCTCTAAATTCATCAGTTCCATCACTTAAATTAGTTCATTGCTGTGTCAATCATTTCAATCTACTCAGAAAACCTTCACTCAATCCATCTATCCATCCAGTATGAAATAATATTACAAGGTGGCAGTTAATGAGATCTACTAAGGATGCTACGATTGATGACTTGACGTAAATTAAGACACACTGACTCAAGAAGTTAAATTTAGCAATCGCAATCACACCTCAAAATTACTTTTACAAAACAATTAATTTGTCAACGATCTCAATCTTGGTTTACTGTAATATGAGGCTTTCCATCCCAAAACCAGCGTACTGTTGCTAAATGTTAAACTGAATAATCAGCATAAGAATGTACATAGAAGCCGTACAGTAATACATTTACTCATAACTTTGGATATATATAAGGTCAACTCAATAAATGACCTATCATTTTAAAGCTCATTTAATGTGGAGAATATGATGATACTAAAAAGATAATTTTTTTGTTTTAGTCACTAATGCTGGTTTTAGCATGGCAAGCCCCATATGAATTTTATTATTACTATAGATAATTAAAGGATGATGAAGCAACCATACAATTAGTGATGTATAGATTTAATTATGAATAATGGCAGGATATAATATTTTATGCACCATGGTGAAGTAGAAGATGATGATGATAATGGAGATATTTCATTTCGGTATTAAAGAGAATAATTCCATAATGGACTTAGCATGAACATAAACACAGTAAACTGATGGGGGGAAAAAACCACAAAAGCCTTAGTACTTACCGCAGCTTGCGCAGTTATGTGTGTACATCCAATAATCTTGGCCCCTTTCAATGGTTTGTCACCCTCGGCTCTCTTCCGCAGTAACATCAACCCAGGCATTTCTAAAAGACAAAATGGAAATTACCTTTAACAGATTGAAAACATAATTTTTATTAATCATAATCCATATTATTACGGGAGCGATTGGTGTGGATGTTGTGTTTCACACTCTCAACCTTGTGGCGAGGACTTGAATCTGTCACTGCATTTGGCTTTATGCACTAGTGCAAGGAATATTATCTATGTGTGTGTGTCTCTCTCTTTCTACCCAGGGGTATAAATGTGTACTAGCACAAAAGTATGGGTACCTGGCAGAATGTTGTGGCACTTAATTTATTGGTCTATACACAATGTTCAATAAAATTAAAATGAAAGCTCACCAGAGAGTGGGGAAGAATAAATTTTGTACATGTTTGCCAAATTTACTGATCCAAAATATTAATTCTTTAAAGTGTGGCTTGTCTTACCTTGTTCAGCTATTTCAATTTCTCTACGACCAAAGTTTGCCTGGGTTATGTTTTTCACGCAAAAATCTGAGAAGCCTTTGCTATTTTTCTATAAAAAAAATGAAATAAAGAGGATCAATTAAGAAGTTTTTCCAGAATATGGCACTGGTGATAGGTATTTGTAACCCCTCCTCTTTTCAAAAAACATTCTCGGTTCTTATCCAAGAAGACGTGCGTTAGGCAACTAGAACCTTGAGTGAGTAGTGGGATTCAGAACTAAACAGACAACTTCCTAATCATATACAAAATGTAAATATCTCTCAGTAAAAATGAATTAATACTCTTGATATGCTGTCACCTGCCTCAACACAGATTTGATTCTTGATATGATGTGATTTTTGCGAATATCTTGCATAGATATGAGAATAACATTTTCAATTAATGTGGGACGTGCAAATCTTACATATTTGGTACTTGGTTTGTTTCCACTTCAATGGATATAGCTCATCCGCACGCAGCTCACAAGTTAGCGTGACGTATCAAAATATATTTTGCTGATGAAGATGAATCTTCCATGAGGGAAATTAGCTGTGAGGTCTAAGGGAAGTTGGTTTAGTTGTGTTTTAATTTACTAGGTACCGTACTCTCTAAACGCATCTTTAAAAGTTTAATTATGTATTAATTGAAAGTTATTTAATCATTCATTCAGAATTTAATCATTCATTCAGAATTTAATCATTCATTCAGAATTTAATCATTCATTCAGAATGTGTAAGATGATAGAAAATGTACAGTTTTTATCCATTATGAAACAAGCTTTATTTATGGATGTAGTTTGATTATTATGTATTAATTAAAGGGTGCAAATAAATCTAGGATTTAATATTATCATTATCATTTTGTTATTAGTATAGAAATCAATGATAAAATATCATTGTGACAACAAACAAATAAGAATATTTTGCACTTAATGATAATATATAACTAGAGATATTAAATGCATGTTAGTATAAAAAGCAATTCTCTCAATTAAGAGTTCAGGAAAAATGTTTACCTGAAGTTCAACTTTGAAATTTAAAAATTATATTGCTTTAGTATATAATGTACTGATTTATGGTGAGATTCCCTTCAGACAAATGTCAGAGCTGTCAGTGTCTGTAATATAATGCACTTCATACAATCTTTGCAGGTTTGCAGGGTGGGCATTTGCCCAACCGTCGGACAGGCCTTTAATTCTCCTGTCGTTCAAAGAATAAATAGGTTGTCGGACCAAAAAAAAACAAAAAAAAACAAAAAAAAAAACTTCCCTATTCAAATAGCGCTATTTTGATTGCCAATCCCTAATGTTATGGTCTGAAGGGACATTAGAAACAACTTAAGCCATAACAACTCTCTCCATTACTTTTTTATTCCGGGCCACCGCTGCACACATTTCCGAGGCTTAGTGTAATGGGCTAACAGCACATTCCCCTACATTCAAATAATGAATAAGGGACTACCTTTACCTTAAGTCAGAAGAGTTGATTTGGTCATGAGAAAAAAAAAATTAACAATGATCGAAATTGAACCCAGGAACCTGGGATGGGAAATCAAACATCTTAACCACCAAGCTATATAGCTCCACTCAAAATATAAGCAACATTCAGCTTATTCTGTTGAATCTAATTTAAAAAAACAAAAACAGAAGAATGAGGTATAGGAAGAGTACATGTTTAAATTCCACAGGAGAATGATGGATGAATGCCACAAGCAACATGTAGTGCAATAAAAGGGTCATGTGACAACCTACAGTAACACACACATTTATAGGATGATTTCATGAAGTACTCCTAGTGCTAACTCTAGAAGATTAAACCTCGCATAGTGCAAGGAAGATGAACAATAATGCACAAAATTACGAAATATATTTTCATGTAGAGACAACAATACAGAAAGGTCTCGCAAAATTGCGTGATAGATTTTATAAATAATAAAAGATGTGCCTCTCCCTAAATCAGCCACAATTTAGTAATTACAGAGTGAAGCTGTAGCATGGTGCTTTCCTTTGAACTTGTAGTACTAGGTTCTAATCCTGAGACACAATGATTTTCTTTCCTTTAAAGCTTTGTCCAAATATCCAATTTGTTGCGACAAAAATATGTATGTGACACACCCATATTTGGGTGTAATATGGCATCATCATGCCTATATATGGGCACATCACACAAATTTGGACTGAGCTTCAAAACAATTCCACAACTAAAACCTCATTTATAAAGAAGCTTCAAGCATAGTTCCATTACGTAATTAATTTAGACTTGATGATGTTAAGAAAACACACCCACATTATTCACACCTAAAACAATGATGCTTTTGATTGTAATTAATCACTTTTCATCAACAGAATTCAATACCTGCTTTTTGAATCCAGTTCACTTGGAAGACCTTTGCCATTTGTCCCCATGGGAGGATTAATGAATATTCATGACTAATTATACTATAGACTATTGAAAAGTAGAAATCAATATATAGCTTAACTGGCTTTGGTGAGATGAAAATTCACAACTGAGTCTAATAAAGATCAATCGAGGCTAAGAAGTCCGAGTCATTAACCTTTCTGTCAAGGGGGAAGGCGAATGGTTTAAACTGTAACCATTTTAAAGAGATAAAAGCTTTCTTATTAAACTGACTCCTATTTAAGAATGCCAAATGTTTAAATATTGTTACACATCAGTGACAGTCCCATCATATGTTACTAAATTTATCTACAGTAAACACCAATGACTTGCATGATAAGGCACATCCAAACCAATCGTAAAAGTAGAAAATAAGGATGATTACATATTTAACTAGAATAGCAGAATGATTATCTGCTAGTCAGTTACTGTACCATAAAAACACTGCGATTTTTAAAAAACACTTTTTAAAATAAAAATCATGTGCATTGTAATATGTCCATATTTCAACACAGCACATGCATCATTTTTAAAACAGCACAATACCTCAGTACAGATTTGTCGGGGACAACTTTAATTAGAATATCATTATGTAAACCGAAGACAGGCGGGGCCCAGAAAACCATTTTCAGACATCTAAAGGAGTTTTACCTCTAGCTCCACCCATGGTTGGATTGAGGTGGGTGTGGCCCATTTGACAGGGAATGATGGACCATCTATCATCAGGAGGAAATGCTGACCACCGCTAATCTTATCCTTTGGAAATGTTTTATCCATCATCAGATGAGCTAAGAATGTGCCAATATACCGTAGTTCTAAGTAAGCCAACACCCTAATTTACAGCCAATTTTACATACCAGCCTTTACTCAAGCAAAGCCCAGGAAATGATTTGAATGAGTAGCTTAACCGACTTTTAAAAAAAATTAAATATTGGCATGCAGTGCTGAAAAATTGCCTTTTGATTGAAAAGAAGATTCCATCCCCCTTCCAAAAAAATTGGCCAAATTTTGTGTTCAAGGGAGGTGGGCTTATACCAGAGAAACTACGGTACGTTCATAAAATAAGCATGTTGTCATTTTCGAATGGTAAAGTACATACCTGGATTCTATCCCTTGGAGATGTGTCATCATCGGATGAGCTGTCACTGTAAGAACCCGAGCTAAAGCTGTCTGCTGAAGACTGAGACATGGAACGAGAACGACGGGATGACCTGCGTTGGCGTGTCGAAACATCTTTAAATTCTATCTGTAAGTCACAAGAGCATATAATCAGTACTTAAATTATAGTAATCACAATACTGTTTGTTTTCAATTTGGTTAATGGAATCAGTACTCAACGGCAATAAATTATTATAATTGATGATTAGAAATGGCAAATGACATTTTTTTTTTTTGTATACCGGTACATTTTTTAATCTACAGATTTTATGTGAAATGTTCTCCATATGTATCCAAGTGAAAACTACCACTTACAATACTGCTTACCACACATACACTCATATCAATTGTTGATTAGGTTATTGTGTACTATTTATAATGCCATGTGTGAGCTTAGCAGCTGGTTGGCTTTTTGACAATTTGGTAAAATAGTGTGATGATGGTGTATGGCCAAAGCTGGAATTAAATATTTGTACTGTGTATACCGTCACTAAATTAATTTATCAAACTTAGTGAGTTATCCATGGTTTTCCAGTTTCCACTTTTATTCCAAGCCCTTGTGATATTTATGTTTAATTGAATTTTTCATTAATTATTATATAACTTTTAAATATATTTTACTATTCTGTACATAAAATACTTTTTACAATGATGCTAATATTTTTATTCTTTTTCGTAAGGCCAAAAAAAAAAAAAAAGAAGCAGTTTCTCATCCTAATATTTTTTAAAAAGGAGAAGGGCACTTTTTTTTTTTAACTCCGAGATGGCAAATCCAAAATCGTCGATGGGAAACAGGCTCTACTACTTTCTTACTTTTACCAAGTAGACACATTGAAACCAAATAAATGGAGCACTAGACATAATTCATAACCAAATGTATCCCCAACCTCAAATGATTCAGTAATTTTTACTGATGCGAGTTAGCCAGATTTTCATACATTTCGTAAAATAAAGGTAATAAAAATATAAATAAATGAAATAAAATTTTGTGAGGAAGAAAAATGGATGCACACAGGGACGAGGAACTAGTAATTTTTTTATTTGGCCTAATATAGCTCAAAGGCTATAAGGTCACTATTATTCATTAAAACTTGAATAAACACAAATGAAAAATTCTACATTGAGCTGACATCTGGAAAATTTTGATCATTAAAGGCCACTTCTTAAAATGTACATCAACATTTTAATAAAAAACAGATGTACTGTAAGTGTAAAGTCACATTAGACTCTACATCAATAACAAATGCAAATATTTAAAGACCTTTTATCAAAACGGAAAGCTTTTTCAAATATGAAATAATGTGATACTCCATGAATATATATATTGCATCAGAACAAAGACTTAAAATACAAAGCACTTTTTTCTTTCTCTATCCAAATTCCTATTAATTTAAATGTGCTCCTTTCTCTCTTTTATTTTTAAAATTAAACTTAGTAACTAATTTTTGTTTTAGACTTGATGATACAGTGACATGATCAAGCCAATGGTATTCTAAGATTCAATATAACTGGTACACAAATTCATTTTACACCATTATATTATCTTTATAGACATTGTCACATTGAAAAGTTATATTAAATGCTTATGTGTTAATTAATTAAAATCCAATTATTTTTTTAGATTGAATATAGTTATTAAAATAAATTATTTGTTTATGTATTATTGTAATTCAAATAAAACCACATTGTACAGCAGTTGTTACATTTCTATAGAGTAACTATTATATTTCCTACATTATTTCAGTAGATCCAGATGTCTGAAAATAATCAGTTATTATAAACTTTAAAAATCAAATTTCAAACAAAAACAAAAACAGAAATTCAAACCCTAGTATATGTCGACATGGTCTTGGAGAACTGTCACCAACACATGAGCACCTTTGTAATGGTAAAATCCACTAACATGTGTACTGTATATACACAGTCTGTATCTTTGTTCTTCACGTGTTGTTATGCAAGATGTGGTGGCACAAAGGGCCTGGTAGAAGAACTAGCCTACAGAGGGCCAATTTACACACTTCAACGATTTCAGAGACAGATCCTTTTAATCTTGTGGTGGACAGAACACGCTTCACCGATTTCCAAGTAGAGGGTTATATTGTGGTGGGAAGGATGTACCATTTTGTTATAGTAGGGGTGTTCATTTGCCTTGTTATTCTTAAGTCAAATCCACTGATCGTGTAATAATACTTTTTGGGAGAGTAATATCCCTTCAAAAAAACATCAAATATATAATTAATAATATTGGAATTCCATAAATATTTTATTTATTACTCCCAGGTTTTGTATTCCAGAGGTCATGTGAAGTTCAGATACGTAGTCAATAATAATCCATACATAAGCCAGTGTCTGCTGCTGCTACTATTTATCACATATCACTTGCCCATTGGCCTAGTATAGGCAAGCGACCTGATGTTTTGTTTACTTGGACAAATCGAGTAATCATGTGCCACTGTCTTAAATGTGATTCCAATTGAATTGAAATAGTAGCCCCACTGATCCAAATTGTCTTGGACATCCTGTTGAAAATTGTGGTTAATTCCTTTTTCACCTGTTTAATAGTAACAGTATAACAGATGAAAAAGAACCTAGAAATATTAATGACAGTTAATGTAAATATGACCAATGATAAACTATCTTTTGTTATGTAAATTGTGAATAAACAATCAGTATTAAAAATAATCTGAAAAGTCCAAATACCATGATATAAATGTTATTTTGGAAAACATAATTTCCTCAGAAGCTGAGGAAACTAATGTTCATACAACAGTGGGCATCTTATTGTAAGTTTCTTTCCTAAATATAATTTCTAACCAATATAGAAGATTCTATCCTAAAGCTACATTAAACCAGCCCCATGTGCACTTTCCACACCAATTTGTTGTTTAAAAAAAAAATCTATTCACTGTACATCAAAATGTTTTTCCCTTAATTCATGCATAATAGAGTATCAAATAATTACAATATACTTACATAGTCCTATATATATATACTGTTCAAAAACACCGAATTGAACAAATATGTACAGAAGATAATCCTACTAGTACTAATTTGACTGATGTTATCAATTTAAGTTTGTTACATCACTGTCTGTATCTAATTAAGTGTTAATAATACTTTGTAATAGTAGTAGCATTCTGTATAGATCCCACTGGAAATTACTATCTAAATTTCTTGTGAATTTAATCCTAGCTAATTGTTTGAATGTTGTTTTGTTATAAATCAAATTAACCTAATCAAATTTTAAACATATATGGAAAACCATTATATCGATTAATAGAATACGCCTAATGCTTGAAAATGCTACAAAAAGAAAATCATGAAATCTATTAACACTTGTATGACTCATGACAAGAGGAAATTTAGCATCCTGTTAGGGACCTGATGGCTTGAGTGAAGGTAAAACCAACTTATCGACTAATCCAAAATTTAATTAATGGGGAAAAAGCCACATAAAACATTAAGATTCCGGAGTCTCTAATGCGTTATCCTCCACAGTGAGCCTTGCAAATGGCCAACCTAAGCTGGCTTGTACACAATTCATGCACATAATTAATAAAAGGTGCAAAATGGCACGCTGTGAATTATGCAACTGAAGTTACCAGTGAACACTACAGTAGTGATGGGGGATTATAGAGGCGTTATCAGTAAAAATCGCCTACATTTGACCAAATTATTTAGCAATGAAGGAGATGAGAAAACAAGTTGAAATTTTGACCAAATAGAGGCAAGATATGTACAATTAAGTAGAAAAAGTTTCATTACCATGGGTAATTGCTCACATAATGAACCTGCCACCCGAAAATCAGCAAAAATATCAATTTTCCAGCCGGAACCCTTTTCAGGGACTCCTATATTATAGCATGGATATAGTCAATCTCTCTTTTACACACAGTCCTGCCGTCAGATAGCAGGATTCTATCACAATTAACTATCTGTAAGTGCTCTAATCCTCACAGGGAGGACTTGAAAACTGATTTTTTGATTTCCGCCTATAAAAAGATACACATTTGAGAGGGGAATAACTTGAAAATGAAAAAAGATAGAGCAATTATGACAGCAGATTCTGAAAGCCTGGGCCAAAAATACCATGAGTTCTAAATTTCAGCCTCTAACGCTGTCTCATTACTAAGACATTGACCTCCAAAAACCCTATAAATTGAAGTTCCTGATTCACGAGGCCAAAAAGGGGGCGTGGCACCCGATATTTGGGGGCTGTAACTCTGAAACTACTTGGAGTAAAAGTCATTATTATTATTATTATTATTTCATTATTCATGTAAAGGTATTTACAAATAAATTTGAGCCAAATCGGAGTCGGTCACCTGCAAACATTTTTCAACTTTGGTTGAGTTCATATGGAATGACCCAGAAATAAAAATAATTTGTCTGCCCAAAATGCCTTAGAGATTATTTTCAGGAGTCTAGAAAACAAAAATTTCATGGGGGCATGCCTCAGACCCCATAGAGTAGTGTTTGTCTCGATCGGCCCCACTTTCAGCCCCCTTCCAACCCCACATTTCGGACATTTCTGGATCTGCCCCTGTATATATAGGCACATCATGACTATATATGGGCACATCATGACTATATATGGGCACAT